ACCGGACTGGTTTGACATTCTGGCCTACTGTGGGCGGACGGAAAACTCCGATTTCAAACCTACGGTGTACATGCGCTCCAGAATCCGAAAGGATAGAATGGCGTATGAACCTGTTCGGATCACCGGTGCAGGAGTCGGGGAACTACCCCAGCCCTCGAACAAACAATCAGATTTTGTGTGGCACACCCCTTGGTGACCATAATGTACCAAGTTTGTGGCCTAACAATCATACTAAGGCTAACACTACTATTACTAGTAATAATAATAAGCTGTGTCACTGAAGCCCTATTTCCCACTCGGGACGGAAGCAACGAATACTAGTCATTATTAAAATAATACATCGATGAAAGACAACCATGAAAGATAATCTGTTCAGAATTCCAAGGTGATTTCGACCAATTTTACGAGTCTCCTACCCTTGGTTCTTATAATCCCGAAGACATCAGTCGGAATACAACTAACATTTACGCACTCGGTGTATTGCTGCTGCCTTTTGCTTCGAAGATCACAAACAATGATGCAACAACTTACTTTAGACAACATTCCACATGATTAACAAACGTCCTATGCACTTCAAAAGGCGAAGATTCACAAACTCTTCTATTCACCTACTTCCCTTACCGAACACTCCACATCTAATCACAACATCTCTTACAATGTTATTTCACTGAACCCGAGCACACGAACGGAAGCACCTATCAGTAAAGCCTTTGGTCATTTTATTACTTCAGCGGCCTTGTTTTACAGACGTGGAATCCTGTACACGTATTGTACATTCATCAGTGACGGACAGGATGCCACACGTATTCACACTTCTGATCAAGTTGCACAGGAATCTCTGGATCCTATTCTGCCAGCATCTTCACACAATAGGACTGTCATCTACCTAGTCTAGGTTGGATATATCTTTCCCCGAAATAAGCCAATTCCTTAGAATTCCAAGTTGAAACCACCTTCAACAGTATACTTACAATGAAAATATGCGACAAAGGTGACATCCAATATCACATGCTTACACTCTGGAAAGTTCCCCTAGAAGATGTACACTTCGTCGACCATCCATGTCTCGTCTCTCACAAAGTCGAAGATTTACGAGCGAAATCCGACAAGCTGGTAGAGGAGGCAGCGAAGACACGACTCCGAGTGAACACAGAGAAGACACAGGTCATGAAGATACCCAACCAACCAACCAACCAACAACAACAACAACAACGAAAACAACAACAAGTACCAATCACCATCAACGGAAGAGACCTGAAGGAAGTTGTCTCTTTCACTTGCCTCAGCAGCATCAATTCAACTACAGGCGATACGGATTACAATGTCAAAGCCAGGATCGGAAAAGCAAGACAGGTACTCATTACTCTGAAATCAGTGTGGAGATCTACTGCACTCAGCACAAGGAAGAAGGCCCGGATTCTCAACACCAATGTGAAGTCAGTGCTTCGATATGGTGCAGAGACTTGGCACTGGCGTCACCGAAAGCATTTCAAACAGCCTTCTGCACACTTTCGTCAACAACTGTCTTCCCTCCATACTGAAGATTAGACGGCCCACCAGAAAGAATAAGCAACAAGCCACTCTGGCAGCTCAGCGAACCAGCAGACAAGAACCTATCGCCTAAATACTGTGCAGAAGGAAATGGAGATGCACTGGTCATAAGGTGAGGAGGAATTAAGGTGACACCATACACCAGACCGTCAGTTGGAACACGAGGGTTCGCACGTGGGTCTCAGGGTGACATACAGGCGATCATGTGAAGACGAGATGAAGGAAAGCTTGTGGGCAGTTGTGGAGCCAGTTGAGAGTGGTGACAGAGAACAGAGTGCAATGAGGTTTCACCACGCCCCTATAAAACGACCTGGTACGGCCGACGGTGGGTAGACTTCGGTCTTTCTCTCGAAATCCTCTCATGTGGCCACGCGTTCATAGCCTCCCTCAGTCAGGCCAGGTAAGTCCTATTCACTGCATTCACGCGCTGGAGTCTTCCTCACAAAAGTGAAAGGGCGAATTCCAATGTCTGGTGCTTACAACCGGACTGGTTTGACATTCTGGCCTACTGTGGGCGGACGGAAAACTCCGATTTCAAACCTACGGTGTACATGCGCTCCAGAATCCGAAAGGATAGAATGGCGTATGAACCTGTTCGGATCACCGGTGCAGGAGTCGGGGAACTACCCCAGCCCTCGAACAAACAATCAGATTTTGTGTGGCACACCCCTTGGTGACCATAATGTACCAAGTTTGTGGCCTAACAATCATACTAAGGCTAACACTACTATTACTAGTAATAATAATAAGCTGTGTCACTGAAGCCCTATTTCCCACTCGGGACGGAAGCAACGAATACTAGTCATTATTAAAATAATACATCGATGAAAGACAACCATGAAAGATAATCTGTTCAGAATTCCAAGGTGATTTCGACCAATTTTACGAGTCTCCTACCCTTGGTTCTTATAATCCCGAAGACATCAGTCGGAATACAACTAACATTTACGCACTCGGTGTATTGCTGCTGCCTTTTGCTTCGAAGATCACAAACAATGATGCAACAACTTACTTTAGACAACATTCCACATGATTAACAAACGTCCTATGCACTTCAAAAGGCGAAGATTCACAAACTCTTCTATTCACCTACTTCCCTTACCGAACACTCCACATCTAATCACAACATCTCTTACAATGTTATTTCACTGAACCCGAGCACACGAACGGAAGCACCTATCAGTAAAGCCTTTGGTCATTTTATTACTTCAGCGGCCTTGTTTTACAGACGTGGAATCCTGTACACGTATTGTACATTCATCAGTGACGGACAGGATGCCACACGTATTCACACTTCTGATCAAGTTGCACAGGAATCTCTGGATCCTATTCTGCCAGCATCTTCACACAATAGGACTGTCATCTACCTAGTCTAGGTTGGATATATCTTTCCCCGAAATAAGCCAATTCCTTAGAATTCCAAGTTGAAACCACCTTCAACAGTATACTTACAATGAAAATATGCGACAAAGGTGACATCCAATATCACATGCTTACACTCTGGAAAGTTCCCCTAGAAGATGTACACTTCGTCGACCATCCATGTCTCGTCTCTCACAAAGTCGAAGATTTACGAGCGAAATCCGACAAGCTGGTAGAGGAGGCAGCGAAGACACGACTCCGAGTGAACACAGAGAAGACACAGGTCATGAAGATACCCAACCAACCAACCAACCAACCAACAACAACAACAACAACAACGAAAACAACAACAAGTACCAATCACCATCAACGGAAGAGACCTGAAGGAAGTTGTCTCTTTCACTTGCCTCAGCAGCATCAATTCAACTACAGGCGATACGGATTACAATGTCAAAGCCAGGATCGGAAAAGCAAGACAGGTACTCATTACTCTGAAATCAGTGTGGAGATCTACTGCACTCAGCACAAGGAAGAAGGCCCGGATTCTCAACACCAATGTGAAGTCAGTGCTTCGATATGGTGCAGAGACTTGGCACTGGCGTCACCGAAAGCATTTCAAACAGCCTTCTGCACACTTTCGTCAACAACTGTCTTCCCTCCATACTGAAGATTAGACGGCCCACCAGAAAGAATAAGCAACAAGCCACTCTGGCAGCTCAGCGAACCAGCAGACAAGAACCTATCGCCTAAATACTGTGCAGAAGGAAATGGAGATGCACTGGTCATAAGGTGAGGAGGAATTAAGGTGACACCATACACCAGACCGTCAGTTGGAACACGAGGGTTCGCACGTGGGTCTCAGGGTGACATACAGGCGATCATGTGAAGACGAGATGAAGGAAAGCTTGTGGGCAGTTGTGGAGCCAGTTGAGAGTGGTGACAGAGAACAGAGTGCAATGAGGTTTCACCACGCCCCTATAAAACGACCTGGTACGGCCGACGGTGGGTAGACTTCGGTCTTTCTCTCGAAATCCTCTCATGTGGCCACGCGTTCATAGCCTCCCTCAGTCAGGCCAGGTAAGTCCTATTCACTGCATTCACGCGCTGGAGTCTTCCTCACAAAAGTGAAAGGGCGAATTCCAATGTCTGGTGCTTACAACCGGACTGGTTTGACATTCTGGCCTACTGTGGGCGGACGGAAAACTCCGATTTCAAACCTACGGTGTACATGCGCTCCAGAATCCGAAAGGATAGAATGGCGTATGAACCTGTTCGGATCACCGGTGCAGGAGTCGGGGAACTACCCCAGCCCTCGAACAAACAATCAGATTTTGTGTGGCACACCCCTTGGTGACCATAATGTACCAAGTTTGTGGCCTAACAATCATACTAAGGCTAACACTACTATTACTAGTAATAATAATAAGCTGTGTCACTGAAGCCCTATTTCCCACTCGGGACGGAAGCAACGAATACTAGTCATTATTAAAATAATACATCGATGAAAGACAACCATGAAAGATAATCTGTTCAGAATTCCAAGGTGATTTCGACCAATTTTACGAGTCTCCTACCCTTGGTTCTTATAATCCCGAAGACATCAGTCGGAATACAACTAACATTTACGCACTCGGTGTATTGCTGCTGCCTTTTGCTTCGAAGATCACAAACAATGATGCAACAACTTACTTTAGACAACATTCCACATGATTAACAAACGTCCTATGCACTTCAAAAGGCGAAGATTCACAAACTCTTCTATTCACCTACTTCCCTTACCGAACACTCCACATCTAATCACAACATCTCTTACAATGTTATTTCACTGAACCCGAGCACACGAACGGAAGCACCTATCAGTAAAGCCTTTGGTCATTTTATTACTTCAGCGGCCTTGTTTTACAGACGTGGAATCCTGTACACGTATTGTACATTCATCAGTGACGGACAGGATGCCGCACGTATTCACACTTGTGACGATAGGCTCGCGGTTGTGTGTCACTGTGATATAGTGTAGAGGTGTTTTTTGGAATTTTTCGGGGAGAAGTTTATCGGGAATGGAGTTTTTGAAATAGTAAGAAGTGTTATTTCATCAGAGGAATGTTCGATTTTAATTGTTTAGTGAATGGTGACTATAAGGACAATGGATGGAAGATGGAGAGTGTTTATGAGGTTTATTTGGTGAAATTTTTTAAGGGCATTTTGAAGATAGACGTGTTTTCACCTTCGTGGTGGTCTATGTGGCGGTGGACTATTGAGTCTTTTTCGAGGCAGCGCACCGACTTCCAGTTGTCGTAGTTTACGTGAAATAGGTGTTACAGAAGACGTAGACGTATCCGCGGCGGCTGACCTGAAATGGTTGTCTTGCACTACTCTAGTTTGTGTAGTTTCATTCCAATCTGAGAGGATTGATAAATACTGATCATCATCAACACTGAAAAGTAATCGTAAAACCTAAAAAGGAAAAGTTTATTGTTTAAAAAGTGAAAAAAGTCCGTTTGTTATAATTTGCTAACATTCATGTCGTTAAAAAAACGAAACACTGTCTGTTCAGCGTACACCCCTCCGTAGTTCATGTTCAGAAGCACATAACGACTGAACTTCGCTTTATTTCAATAAAAAGAGCGCTCATCTTCGTGTAAAACAAATGAAGAACAAACCAGTGTTCTTTGGTGTAGTTGACTGTGAGAGTTAACAAAAATTAAAAAGTATGGTCGAACTAGCAGTAAGAAGATTTCCATTTTTCCTTATAAAATGGAACATACGATCACTAGGTGAAATGAAGTGAACCAAACAAATTTATTTTATAAATTTACTCATATAACCCAATGTTCAGAATAATTTCCATCTACCAAGTTTTGAGACAGTATTATCACTGTTAGATATTAGATCTTGTAGGTACATCGTCAAGTGCATTGACGTGTTTGATGTTTTGACTGACATTTCAAAAAACGAAATAACAATCCTCTGTGATAAGTTGGTTTGTTGATGTAACACGGATGTATGATCTAAAGTGATTAGTATAAGAATATTTAGAGAGGCATATATTTATTTACAACTTTGTCACATTTCGTTGAACCATATAAACATGGTCAATTGGAACAATAGTTGCCCGTTGATGATTTTCACTGAATGATAGTTCAATATTTATTTGAAATGCGTTGTCACTCAAAACGCTTACTATCAGTGTCCCCTTTTTGCCTCACACATATGATATCATTTTTTCTATCTATTTAGTCTTTACAAGATATTTGAACTCGGATCCACCATAAAAAAGTCACAATTTTGTATGAAAGCGAAGAAATCCTCGAAGTGACCTAAATATTTTAACCTTTTTTGTACGGTAAGATGAATTTGAAATCATCAGTTTTGAGTAGTCATGACCACTTTATTTTAAGATTAATTTGATTTTTACCTCGGACATTTAATCTATGGAGTGTTAGAATTCGAAGAATTGTAATGATACCAATCACAACTCTCTTATCAGTTTCATGTCACACAGGACCACTTGCGGAAAAGTTATATGATTTAACATGTTGTAGTAACAAAACGAGATTAAAAAACGTACATCTTGCTGAGGTTTTGTTTCCGTAATAGCTTGCATAATTTGAGGTACTGGACAGGAATATCCAACCAGCGTCGGGCCAAATACTTTAGACAAATTCTCTTCACTCATCTGACAAGTTGGTGTATGAGAAACGGCCTACAAAATGTATGGACAGAATAAATTTAGTGGTGATCATCTGGACTAAAGCCAAACATTTCGAAAATCAAAAAGATAGACATGAAAAATGACATCTTTGATTACCTTTAAATGAAGCATAATAAATGAAAGAGTATGTCGATTAGGGGTTGGTAATTTCTTCAAAACGTTAACTGCGGACTCAACAGCTTTGGATGCATTTGTTGCGTACTCTTCACTGACAGCAATTAGATTTGATCGTTGCAAATAAGTAACTAATGGTTCTTCTAAACTCCGTAGGAATAACTTTAAACAACAGCAGATAACATGAATATCATCTATTAAAGCCAAGCTCGGTGTACTGCGACTATGGAGAAATTTCTCATATAAATCTGACGTTAAGGAAGAAATGAAAACATGACAAGTATGAGTGTATAAAAAGAGAGGCACTTTTCAAAATACTATGTTTTACATTTTTTTTTAAAGAACTGGCACATAGGTTTAGCAACTGTATACCAGTTTATACTTGAACTAAGCCTGAAGACAGAATAGTGTGGATAAGAATGAAATCTCTATCGAAAGTTAAATACACCCTGCAGTAGAGTTAACACATAACATTATGTAATTATCAATAATGAGAGGCAACTTAACGGGAATTTCCATTTTATGATCAGAAGCTGACAGGAAAAAAATAACATTCTAAATAGATTGAAAGAGGTTTGATTTGTATTACCAACAGGGTCTCTTAACATCTGATCGCAGTTGCCACAGTACAGGATCCTCTCTTGTTTGGTCATGGATATAACTTCACATGAAACGTAGGCATTTAGTATGAAACAGCATATAAACCTGTGAATTGGAGAATTAATAATCAATTGAAAAACATGCTTATGAGCTATTCTAAGAAGACCTGTAATAGTTCACCTACCTCGAACTTGTTTTTCAGAACCAGAAACACGATAAAGTCCAATAGTTTGCATACCCCGAGCCATCACTTCATTTACACAATGTATCACCAGGCCGGGTATTTGTGGAAATTGATTAGAAGGGCATAATAAAGACAAACTTAAATTACGTGACCCTTTTCTTCGGATACCTGTAGGACTGCCTGAAACTCGGTCCACAGAACCACGGCTACGACATTGAGTCAGCGACGAGAGAGGAATGTAAGCTGGTGGTTTGGATGAAGTTCCTGCACCACGACTTGTTTTACCGTACACTAGACGTGGTGCAATCGGTGTTACACAAGTTTGAATAAGCTATGAAGAGAAGAGTATTACAGCAGTTGGATTAAATACATGAAAAGCAGGATTTACGTAATAGGCACCAGACATTTAGCTTCAAATTATCTGATTTACATCTCTTTTGAAACCTTATTCGAATTTGTGTCTCAGGAAAGCCGAAAAACACAAATAAAAAATTATTGGGTTATCAGATTAGCATATCACAATAATTCAGAGGCTTATGTTGGTCGATGTGCATGTTCCCTAAAATCCTGTTACGGTGGAAATTCTTTTCAGGTGGTACTAAAATGAAAAGTAGCAATTAAAACAGCCCACATAATGGACGATTTTTCAAGGGCAAAGTCGTTCTGCTAGCTGGGTGTAGTAGTACAGCATATCTTCAATCCAATTTTCGAGCGTCGGTAAATGTTAGCATTAAAAATGTAGCTCTTCTAGAAATCTTTATAATAGGAGGAAAGGATGAAGATGTCAAAACCACTATCAGGAAGGAAAGACAAACCTTCGTCACTCTGAAATTAGTTTGGAAATTTTCTGCACTCAGTATGAAGAACGAAATTCGGATTGTCAACACTAATGTAAAGTCTGTCAGTTCTTCTCTATGGGTCAGAAACTTGGCGCTGGCCTCATGAAAAACATTTCCAACAGGTTACTGACTTTTGTCAATAACTGCCTCCGATGGCTGCATACTGAAGATCAAATGGTCAGAAAGAATTAGTAACAAGAAAGTATGGGGACTTACCAACCAAGAACCGACTGCCCAACAAATATGCACAAGAAAATGGAGATGGATCGGAGACACGCTGAGGAGACCGTTAGTTGACATTGCACGCCAAGCCCCTGAGTGCAGCCTGAATGGGGAACGACAGGTGGGGTGTCTGAGGGCCAAATGGAGGTGATCGTGCAAGAAGATAAGAGACTATGGGCAAACGTGCGACTAGCTTAAGAGGACCGCAGAAAAAAACGACAAAATGGAGTCGTGCTGTTGAAATCTTATTTTCCACTCGCAAGCCAAGGGAGTAACAGTAATTATAATAATTAGCAACAAAGTTGTTTAGACAACACTTTAAGAGGAAGTAGCAGTAATTGTGTGCAATAACGTCTAGATCTCGCAAGAAACTAAAAATACCATGAGTACAATGCTTCAGTGATTGGAAGCAGTGTGCGCAAGAACAAGAATATAAAAAAAAAGCGACAAGGATTTCATTTGACCAACAACACCAAAAATCGGATAGACCTCATCCCACTGTTGCTCAAGAAAGCGGAAACACAGCCTCCTGGACGTAAAATCGATAAGAACAAATGTATGATAAAACCACCATCTGGTGTGTGCAACCTCGCAAATCAAGCTGAAAGCCCTTAAAGAAGCTACAGACACAAATTTATATTCAACACGTAAGTACAAAGGACACCACTGCAGTCATCGGAACAAAGTCCGGGACGTTAAGCGACATCACTGAGGACACTCCCGTGAAAGAAGACTGGAAATCTGAAAACGACGTGGAGCGTAACTTGCATAACCGCCTTAGGAAGGAGGTGGCGAAACAATGAATGGCTCTTTACAGACCCAGAAGCTATTAATTAAAGCAACAAGGGATGATGGAATCGAAGATGAACCAGTAAAAAGATGACCAATGAAAGGACAAGCTGTGTTAAGCCTACGGTGCAATGAACTAGGGAGTAAAGAGTGCTAGGGAAAAACAAATACTTTCACGATACACTAGCAAATGAAGTAGGACAGGCTATGGATAAGAGGTATCCCAAATAACTACACCAGTTAACCAGATCGCTATTCGGGAGGAGATCAACACAGGTGAGACCAATCAAAGATTATGAAGCGAATCTAATTACTAGAGAGGAGAAGCAAAAGAAAAAATGGGCTTATCACTTCAAAGAACTCTTGAACCAACCACCTCTAGCCCCGTGTCTCACAAAGCCGGAGATTTACAAGCGAAATCCGACAAGCTGGTAGAGGAGGCAGCGAAGACACGACTCCGAGTGAACACAGAGAAGACACAGGTCATGAAGATACCCAACCAACCAACCAACCAACCAACAACAGCAACAACGAAAACAACAACAAGTACCAATCACCATCAACGGAAGAGACCTGAAGGAAGTTGTCTCTTTCACTTGCCTCAGCAGCATCAATTCAACTACAGGCGATACGGATTACAATGTCAAAGCCAGGATCGGAAAAGCAAGACAGGTACTCATTACTCTGAAATCAGTGTGGAGATCTACTGCACTCAGCACAAGTAATCCATATATGAAAAAATTCAAGGGATCTTTCACACAAGAGAGTAATGTTCTTTGTACTTTCGAAGTTGACTAGTCGTCTTGTGTATAAATGAACGGATGCATGAAGTTTAAAACTGCCCAAAAACAGAAGCAGATTCTCGCCAATCCTTTATAGCGATGATACACTGGGATACGATTTGTTCACCACAGCCCTGACGGCGGCAGTCATCAAGTCAGACGAGCCGTCACTGTGCTTGGTGATAGTCGAGAACACCCGATCGTCTGAATAATACTGTAGGACTTCGGCAACAATGTCGGTTAGCAATCATAAATTTCCGTAGATTTTTACAAGACGTCTTTAGAGGTGACTGATCCCAAGTTTTAAAACCACCTGAGACTATGATTATTTCTGAGAGTTTTGTTTTTGGAAGCATTCAAGGCCTCAAGGCATAGTCTTGATCGGTTACACCTATAATCAGACCTGAATTTGAGTTCAAATGTGAGAAGCTTTATTATAAAGTTGCAAATGTGGTTTCATGAAAACACAAACGATGTTTGTTGACTTGAATTGTTAGTGACAATCATAAACAACAGAAAACCTGTGTGAACCCAGAGAACATCTTGTTTTGATCAATCACATATGGCCTATTCAAGAGTGGCAAGTAAAGAACTTCGTGGGTCGGTGTTATGCTGCAAGAAGCTCTAGTCGCAACACTTACAATGTATCCACCAAGGCGTTTCTTTGTATTCCAAATACACAGAAAGGGAGAAATTCATGATATTATGTTTGTCATATGCAGATGACAGGTAAGTGTGCCAGATAATTAACAACATTCATTGGTTTGATAGCTACCTTGTTTCAGTTGCGAAACATACTGGAATCAAAAGCTGTTCTAACGACCACATGGACAGAAAATAAAACGTCACACGAGTGTATTTGTGCCCGTGTGACCCTTAAGAATAGATTACTCGAATCCAATGATATAAAACTGATTTCCGTGTTTGGAAGACATATAGTAAGATTGTGTTGTTATGATAACAATTATAAAGTATTCCATTGATCAAAAATTTAATTTATGGGCTGGACTTCAAAGTTGAAGTACAAGCACAGGATCCCTCACAAAAATTCACTTAAAATTTCCTATGGAAAAATATTTTATCAATAATCATATTCGTCTTTACCAGTTGGTTAAGTCTAGGATACGTGTAACAAGGAGAGGTAAACCTTCACCACCAACTCAGTCATACACACTTTTTGCAAACCAACAACACAATCCCTTCACATGCAATTAATCAAGTCTAACACATATAATAAAACACTAACATAGCCGCATATAAACAAATTGATAATATGTCTATCTTACTTGTTGTCGGCAGTTAGGGTGAACAACAAGACGGCATATTAAACATTTATAGGCCATTTTGGTAAAAGTAATGCGACGAGCACACGCACTGCACGTTTCCAATCGTAAAATTGTTCGTGACACAAAATTGTGAGGGCGATTAAGACGATTAATAGTCTCCAGATGCTATTAGATATAAAAGAAAAAATTGTAAATCAAACTAAGTTTGAAATGAGGAGGAAAAATCTTGCATTTTGATTTATATATACATATATATTATTATTATTCCCTTGCATTTCGAGTGGAACATAGGGCTTCAACAACACATCTCCACTCTGTCCTATCTTCTGCCATCCTCTTCAGCTTCCACCACGATTGTCCACAATCTCTCATCTCTTCCTAACAAGACCTCCTCCATGTCACACTAGGACGACCAACTCGTCGCTTCCCATTTGGATTCCACTCGAGTGATGGCCTGGCGAGCTATGTCATTCGGCGGCCTTCTCAATGTATGCCCGATCCATCTCCACTTCCTCCTACATATCTGTTGGGCGATCGGTTCTCAACTGTTGGTTTGTTCCCATAGTTTCTTGTTGCTTATTCTTTCTGGCTGCCTATTTGATCTTCGGTATGGAGCTGACCCGAGAGAAGGTAGCTGTTGATGAAAATCTGCAACCTGTTGGAAATCCTTTTCGTGACATGCCGGCCAAGTTTCTAACCCGTATAGAAGGACCGACTTAACATTGATGTTGAAAATGCAAATCTTGTTCCTTATGCTGAGTACGGAAGATTTCCAAACTGGTTTCAGGTTAGTAAAGGCGTATCTTGATTTTCCGATTCTGATCGACTTTGATATCTTTGTTCGTTCCGCCTGTAGTTGAAAGGATACTTCCTAGATAAGTGAAGGAGGCAACGCCTGTTAAATCTCTCCCGTTGATGGTTGTTGTTGCTGTTTATTGGTTATCTTCATCACCTCCATCTTCTCTGTGTTCACCTGCAGTCCTATTTTCGCTGCATCTTCAGCCAATTTGTTGGTTTTCGCTTGCAACTGTTCGAGTTTGTGTGACATTAGACATCTGCAAAATCCAGATCTTCTAGAATGTTCTTATCGGTATATATTAACATAAAACTGCCAATTGAAATTTTTCAAAGGAATGGTTACTGAACAAAGAATATTCTTTTCGATAACTTCATCATCAGGTTCTACAGTTATATAGACAATAGTGAATGAATTAGTGCTATCAACAATACTAGTGTTTAAATAACATCGAATAGATAATAATATCAGTGAATTACAGTTCGATGGCATCAACATAACAATACACTGAATATCAGGAAAATTAAGGAAAATAATACAAATTCATGAATTCATAGTTTCCACTGAAGGCCAGGGCAGTAGTAGTGGCTGGACTTTTGAACGACCTTATCGGAAAATTCTCATTTCATTACCGGTATATGGATGACACTTATATTCTTTGTGATAATGATTCGGATAGGATCATAATAATAACTCAATTCAATGAAGTATATTGTGCTATGAAATTCACGTGGGAAGAGGAATTGCCTTTCTAGGTGTCCTCCTTACAAGAAAACCAGATGACAGTATAAAGAGAAATATGCATATGAAAAGTATATGGACAGGACAATATATAAACATTTTCATAGCTTCGATTCTATCCAGTACAAAAGAAATTAAGTCAGGACCTTCAGCCGCAGGTTTAGAGCTATATGCTCCGAAGAGGTAATTGAAAATGAACTAAGGATTGTATATGATACCCTAACAAACAAATGCATCAGAGAATATATGACTAAGAAAGTTGGAAAGGACTATTCACTATCCGTAAACAAGAAGCACACGGTTGCAATTCAAGGGCGACATACATAGCGAAATAATTACGAAGTTAAAAAAATCAGCTCAAAGAACTTTTAATGCCAGCAAACTACAAGTTATATTATCTACACGACCGATGGTGATTCCTCAAGTGAAAGCTGAAATACCTTGACTAACCGCTTCTAAATGCATCCAGCATCTCAACTGGGCTTGTGGAGCGAGTTAAATTGGCTGTTGCTCTAGGAACTTGATTTTCTGTGCTCGAGAACATCTACCTGTGTGGTTAAATAGAGGTGTAGTGAGAAGCATCAATAGCCTGACATCAGAATACCTGGTCCAAATCAGCCACAAAGGTAATATTGAAGAGTCCTTCTCTATTATCTATTGGGTACCAGACAAATTGCCGGAAAAATCCGGGTACCGCGTACTCCAAACATCAGAGGCTATCGCGATTCACCTGAAACAGCAGGTGCAGAAGCAGCAACTCCAGCCGCTACTACTGCCCTGGCCTTCAGTGGAAACTATGAATTCATGAATTTGTATTATTTTCCTTAATTTTCCTGATATTCAGTGTATTGTTATGTTGATGCCATCGAACTGTAATTCACTGATATTATTATCTATTCGATGTTATTTAAACACTAGTATTGTTGATAGCACTAATTCATTCACTATTGTCTATATAACTGTAGAACCTGATGATGAAGTTATCGAAAAGAATATTCTTTGTTCAGTAACCATTCCTTTGAAAAATTTCAATGAGCAATTTTAATTAGTTAATATATATATGGCAATTTCGAAAGTGCAGTACTGCCTAAACAAAAAGTTAACAAATCCTGATCAGCTAGCATTAGCATTAGAATTTCCGAATAAAAGTGTTACATAGAGTAATGAAATACAATGAAACTAAAATCACAGAATGCTCCAAGGTAAAAGAAAGGGCAAAACTAATGGAGAAATATATCCTTGAGATAATAAGACACATGCAGACGCAATTCAGGAATATTGCATGCATTCTATACAATATATATCTTTTCCTCACGCTGAATGTTGTGGTGGCTCACTTTGCCCTACATCGATGACTAATTTATCCCCAGGTCCACTTATCCAGTGTACTGCTCACTTCGCTGAGTAAAATAGTGTGGGAAAAACCATTCGTGCTACTGTCATATCATATATAACTGAGATATTCTTTGCGTCTGAAACGTAACTCTACACCTAATGCGACATCGATCTGTTACAATTCAAATGTTTTTCTGGAGATTAAATCAAACTAATATCAGTATCCAAATTAGCAAGTGAAACGGATACTTGACAGGTGAAGATGAACGAAACACAAATAGGTAATTGACCACCTGTAGGATAGCATCATTAGCATCAGTTCATCACCGCTTGATTGTGATGGTGGTCCACTGGCCTTAGAGATACTCAAATCTAGTTGTCTAGTTTCATCAACCATAAGCCTATTACTGTCGTCAGCAGACACTTGAAGACAAAAAGAAAGTGGTGTTAAATCCGAAATCTCAAGGAAATCTGCTCACACATTGTAGAAATACGCTGCTCAATGCCGCAATTTACTCCCCGTTTGAAAGAAATGTTAGCAGCTGTATTACACCATGACTGATGTCCTTAAAAGAGTAACAACGTTTTACCATTGTATGAAATAGGTGTTTTCGCACTTAAAGTGGTTTCAAAAGAAATACTTTTTACGAGATATACAATTACTTGTAGCAAAGTATCAAATGTTTATTCACAGAGACTTCATTACCTGTGCTGTGTATTTAGGAGATTTTGATAATCTTTCACCAGAACAATGTAAGATAAATTTTTGCATAGATGAACTCCGTAATTCTTGTTTTGTAGTAGAACGTCTAGGAATGCCAACTTGACCAACAGAACTTGCCCTGGGAATCTTTTTTGATCCACGACTGCTAATGAAAAATTGTAATTTTGTTACTTATTTAAAGACGAAAACATCACAGACGACAAGCTTACAATAGGTTTATGAGATTGATTTCGTATAGCTCTTATGATGCAAAAATATGTAAAGGAAAAGTAGATACAGAAACAAATCCACATATTCCTTTTAATGGATACCATGCGAGCTCTTCTACACCAAGGATCTGTGTATACGAAAAAAGACTAAGACAGTTATTATGGTAGTGAAATCAGTCAACAGCATACGAAGGATATAGACACTAAAACTCAATGTGGAAAGCTATGTCTATTAATAGAAGGTCCTAATATTAGACTTTGAATTTCTGTGAACTATTAAGTAAGATTAACAACACAACTGCTCTAATTAATATAAGTAATCTGGACATAAACTAGAGAAACAATTAAAAGTAAGCTACAACAGATGTCAAAGGCACCAATCAACTGCCTATGAGTTTTTGAAAATTATTATTATTAATTCACAATACAGTACAGCATTTAACATAGTCATTTAAAATACTAGTTTATGCTGCTTAATATAATAAATTATAGCAGAGATTAAAAACTAAATACTGCGAGTAAAGGGGAATTTACACATAAAATAAACTTGATAGATAGCTGCTCCCTTGACGTGGTGGCCGGACTTGGACATAGCAATGACCTAACGAGCAAAATCCAATGGAACTAATGTTCCTGCAGGTTCTAGCATGGCAAAAAGGTTGTTTGGATAGCGATTAGACTAAAAGCAGTTGCTGTCATAGTGTAAGTTGTCTACACTCTTGAGGGTTTAATAGCGAAGTCATATTACTAGCAAACAGGAGTGTAACGTAGGGTTTCTACCTCAACCAGCATGCCAGCTGTGCTGTTTCTCAACTCCGGAAAGGAGGCAGTTAGAAAAGGTCGACCCCGAAAATTATACATCCTGACTTACCTTCCAGTGGTCCGTAGCAGTCAATAAGATCTAATACGGACGCAAGTCCAGAACTCACTTCAAACAGACCGTATGTGATCGATCTTAAGCAGTTGTTTCTTGGGCTCTGTTGTGACACAATATCAATGCTTCTTTTGTTTCAGGTACCCAAAAAAACAACTCCCATCGTGTGGGCGGCTAAAAAGTAATAGTCACCCACACACTTCCGTAAGCATATAAAGCTTTTCTGACAACTTTCCATGTTCACCTTCATCACTTTAATCACCTTGCTTTTCTCCTACTGTTAATACTATCCCACAGATCTTCCTTTAACTCTGCGACCATTAGTACCGCCGACATCGGGAAAAACACTACTGATGGTCCCAGAAAACCACTCTGCAAAGTTCACATTCGAGCACTTAACGTCAGAACTCTTTGCCGAGTCGGACAGCATGCTTCACCAACCAGAACTCAGGCATTCCCAGTAATGGATGTGTGTTGTGTTACGAAAAATGCATACGAGACCTGAGTACGGTTATTCCCTTAACCCCACTTGACCAACATGGTGAATCTGCAAAATTCATCTTACGGGTGTCAAAAGATTCTTCGGTAAGTTCTCGAGGACTCCCAGGTGTAAGGATAGCATTGATTGCTAAGATGGAAAAATCCCTAATTCACTGAATCCCAGCAGATAGTCGGATGTGTGCCAGCCAGATACGTCGGAAAGAAAGATTGTCGATTTCTTTACAACAGACTACAGCTTGGACGAAGTAAAATATGAGTTTTAGCAGAAGCCATCCAGTTTGCTGCTGAAAGCAAAACGATCTGATATAGTCGTTCTGGCAGGCGATTTCAATGCTCAAGTAGGGAAACTATGCCAGTCAGAAAATTATATCGGCGGCACCTATGGAGCCCCATGCCAACGAACCAACAACGGTTATCGTCTGCTCAATTCTGTTCAGATAATCCCCTTGCTCCCGTCAGCACTAACTTCAAACATAAGAACGATCTCCTAACCCCGCAAGCTCCATTATCAAATCAACGATGAACCTAAACAGACCACAAGGAAAACGCTGTCGATGTAAAGGTCTGACAAAAAGGCTGTCGCTCTTTCTGGGACACCTGTGTAGTCTCGAACATGTCCTAGTCTGTGTCTACGACTGAGCGGATATAGAAATCAAACAGCAATGAAGCTGCAAAGCCCCAGACCTTATGGAAAGTTTAATCAGTTCTGATGGACTGATTGCTGGTGAAATCTCAGCACGGGTGCAAAAGGATTGTGTGGCATCTGCCAACTTAAGTCATCTTTGAAGCAGATGTGATATTCGGCTATCGGTCAAACATGTGTCATGCGAACACTTACGCTTTGTCCTCCTTGATGGCTGCGATACATGGCCATCGATAATGGAAGATAGGTAAATACTAATTATCTCCAGCCACGGATGTTCAAGTTTTATCTCCCGTATTAAGTGTTATAATATAGTAATATCAAGGTTAGGCAGTGTTAGGTAAGAAGGGTAGGTCAGTTAATAAAGTTGTGAATCAACATCGATTGAGATGACAAGGGCGCATGTTAAGCATGCCAAACTACCGCGTCCATTGACCAGGAATGTTAGCTGACATAGGGTTGGGCTGACAAAGGGTTATAAATGGTTAGGTCAAAACTTTGCATTAGTTCAGGAAGTCTTTGACAGTGGATTTGAACCACTTAAGCAGGTGTAGACTTCTTGGTTGGGGTCTACGGGAGGCCAAGAATCAATGACGAGAGACTATTGGTGACATGGTTCACAATCATTCTCAACGGCACAGATGCATTAACTCTTCGTGATCCCTCATGTCCACTAAACCTTCAGGTTTTTCCATGCTGCTATTCCTTCCTACACACACTTTTGCTTACTAAGGTTCCTTTGAGTCTGTTTTCGCTCTTTTCCCCATTTTTTTGTCCTCTACGGAGTGCCGCAACTTGAAATGCTGCACTTTTGTGCAAGGTTCTATGCTGAGACTCACTCAGTCAACAAACCCACATAAAATAAACAAAAACATTCAACAGCTAAAATCATAAAGCAAATTAAGTCAACAAGTAACAAAAATAGACAAAAAGGAACCGGCACAGAAACTTAGTGATTTACTTTGTGATAACTGTTATTGACAAGAGCGAAAAAAAATCAAAAGCAAGTCAAGATAAATATTAGTACCAGCAAAAAGTGAGACACGTACAAGCATAAGAATATTTAGGAGTTGAAGAATGACGTGCCTACTTAAGCAGCTAGCAGCGATACCATGTAAATTATCCCATTAGCGACTTCAGCAGTCTGAAAAAACCCTAGTCCGAGAGATTTAACTTTGCAACATCGTATACAACTACAGTATTCGAAGACATTAAATTTCAACGACTGCTTAGTGTCATACAAATCTTACCGGGTGAAAACGTACAACTTCATCGAATAACATATATTACCTACCTGAATGTATGCTTTGTGTTTGTATTACTCAGTTATTACCTTACCGAGAAAAGTCTTCTTTTGAATTTCAACTGTCAAATAATGTAAACCATTATCAGCATGGTAAAATAAATTTTTACTAGTTAATTTATCCCAAATCTTGAAAATAGGTTCTCTGTAGAAGTTAAGAAAGAATGCGTAAATTTAATTTCAGAGGTTGACGCTTCCAGCTTGACTGAGCACTGTTTTGACGATTGTTATTCCTTCCTAGTAATTTAGTTCGATGGCTTTTGACAGCGAAAATCCGTGTTATTTAAACTTTTGATTTCACACTCCACTGTAATAGCCATACGATCAGTAACTCGAAGGCAAGTAAAGCCATAAACGCACAACCTAGACAAGTGTATTTGCAATTCGAGATACAGCAGATCCAGCCAAACCTTAATTACGAACTGATAGCCACAAGTCCCATATTATATAATAACGCGCAAATATAGAAGGGCACTTTTGTGTTTGGAATGTTTATTAAATTAAAAATTTAAGTAATTGGAAACCAAGCCTTCTTCAGCAGACAAAGTGAGACACACCATCCTACAAGTCGCATATATTCGTAAATTACCAGAACTACATTTCATTGTTCTAGTTCATTTGGAAATTTTTGCAATTTTATCTTACAAGCCTAATCTAAAACCATTGTTTGAGGTGACACGTTAACTAGTCTATTATTCAAGTAAGCATATTAAATAGACACTGAGAGCTCCAGGACATTCTATGAAGCACTTTCAAATTATCACGTGTAATAATGAAATGTACCTATTGAGTCCTTGGTTAGACAGAAATTAATGGGCTGAGAGAGCATTATAAAGCACAAAAGTGGAAATTGTCTCACATAAGAACCTCGGGAAGGATGATACGTATTTGCCTACTGAATGAAAATATATGCTTTCAGAAATATTTAAAATCCAATATTTACTAAATGACGGCATCGTTGGAAATGTCAGTCATCATATTCAAGATCACTTAAATGAAGTAGTTCACAATGGGAGCAACTGTTTTTGATATGTAGCAATCTCACGTTTCTAGTTCGGTAGGACGATGAGGTATTAATAGAACAGCTAAACTGGTGCAGCATCTTACGCTGATAACCATAGCAAATAACAGTTATGTGCTGAAATCTGAGTTTATAAAAGCAATGACAGAGCACTCGGTAGGGAGGATTAACACTGAAACAACAGGTTTCAACTTACCGAGGATGACCTTCTCTGACCACAGGACTCGAACCAACAGCGGTGCCATTCCACTCTATAGACCATTCATTTTGACCATTATCATTGCAAGATTCATCGAGAGCACTCAATGAAAGGTCAATATTATCAAGTTGACGTTTAGCACTATCAACGTCATTAACAAGTAGTACTTGTCTTATCACACTGAGTTTGCGTTCAAGAGACTTGGCCAACTTTTCTGCATAAAGCCGTTTTTCAACCTCTGCTTTATACATAGCTTCGGTGTGTTCCTAGAGGATAGCGAAGAGCATGTTAAATTACCTGTAAGCTTTTTAGCCGTTTGACTTCTGACTTCTGAATGCACACAAGCGAGTGAAGCTTTAGAATTGTAGATTTCCACTTGCTATTACATGCTTCCAGAGCTCCCAAAAGGTGAGAGAGATTACTGTCTGATAATATTGTCCCTTTGCTATTCTGTATTTGTTAATTTAAATTGATATCAATCCACAAACTTACTTTATGTGTTCGGCAGACAATTTGATCATATAACGTCTGAAAACAAACCGGTTTGACTTTTCGTTTTTTAGTCCGTTTAGAAGCCATTATTTTTCGACAAAGTAGATACGAATTTCTAAAAGCATTGCTATAACATTAATTAAGGCTGGTAAATATAACAATAAAAGTAATGGAGTCAACACTAACTTGGAAAGCTAGTTTTATGCAAGCCGTATGTAAATAAATGCACAAGATGTCAGTCATATACATCAACAGATGTAAAGTCAATTATTTCATGTGAGTTTAATTAATACTGCTATCCATATTTGATTTTCATATATACACTAAGAGGAATCTTTTATATTAGGATCTACCTTCATCTATTTGAACGTATGACCTCACTGCAATAAAATACCAGTGGCAGGTAAAGCGTCAACCTGGACTACAGTGAAGCATTTTTTGGTTTGACTTACTTCACATGACATAAAATTACTCAAGAAATGGTCGTCTGTAAACCAGTAGGCGAGAGCTAATTTATGGACATCCCGTTTACACAATTCACATGCAGTCAACGCAAAGAGAAACTGCAATGTTTGATGGCTTGACACAGGGAGTAGTCACTATTATTATAGTAAAGCTTAGCATTGTCAGACAAGAGGGCTATTATCTGACTGCATTCCATGCAGCTTGCAATATGTAGGAGAATGAATGTTTTCAAATTACACGGTGGCAACAAACCTTTTAAGATCAGAACTGCCAACAGTAACCTTACTGATATCAAACGAGGAAAATAATCTTTGTCCGGGATATTCAGTTAAAGTATATTGGGTTACATTTGAAGACTTAACAAAGTGAAGATGTAGTTTCCCTTCGACTCACCCTACCCGAGCGCATACCTGACTGATTTTACGCAAATATTTCACTTCACATTCTCCACACACATGTGCAAGTGAATCCACTACGGAAATTTTCGAGAAAAAAATGACAATAAATCTCATTTGCAGACAAAAGGGTATCTTTGTGAGACAAAAACAATCATGACCCAAAAACCAGACTCATACCACACACCGCGCCAACCTCAAGATAGTAAGCTTCTCAAAGGCTGACGAGGAACCTTGGTGAATTCAAACAAACATCTGACGTAACAAAGTACTCCATCATAAAGACATTTCAAAACTTTGGTTTAAAATACACATTTGCAACAGAGAAATATAATTATCTCAAGAAACTTCACAGCTACGAGTGCTTACAGTCTTAAAACAGTCTGTCAATAAAAGGAAGTTAGTGCTAATTTAGGGTACGTTATTTACTACTATAGACTGATTGGACTTATTTAAGCTAGTCATTTTTACGAAGCACATATGAAGGTTGTCGTATTCTCCGGATCTGTGTCGCGTAATTTATATATATCTGCATGTCTTTATAAAACTGCACTTATATAATCGCACCTGCTTTTGCTTATATTAGTGGCAAGAAATATAACGGATAGTACATCCCAGACCATATGCCTGATTAGTACCACATATTTCAATAAGGACTTCTTTGGGTCGTAAGTTGAAGAGTATTAGGTGCCACATGTCTTCAACTTTTAATTTCAGTGTCTCAACACAGATGAATTTAAGAAGAAAGCTGATCACTAATGCAATTGATCGGGTTCCTTGAAACACTTTACAAATATAATGAGTAGAGCAGGATCTTGAGCTATTCTATGCATTCTTTCTTATACCACATGAACCAACAGTATCACTGAATCTACCTACTTTCGTCGCTGATAGGAATTAAATTTATTTGAAGGATTTAAAGGATAAAGGTTTTAACATCAACCAGATATAGTTCCAAAAACTTGGGATCCAGACATACACGAAAACTAACACCTAATAACAGAATAGCCATTGAAATTGCAACTCATAGCACCATAGCGAAACACTATTTCAATGCTGAAAGTCAACTATGGCTGACTTGCAATCCCAACGTGAAACTAGAGTTCGGAACAGCCTGGAAACAGGTTAGACATATAGAATGTGACGAAGACATGTTATTATTTCATCATGATGGAGTTGCGGGTTTAATTAATAAATATGTAAGAGTTGCATGGACGAAACGCCATAGACCATTCAGGCAGCAGTTGGCTGAATAAACCTACTAATGAAAGAAGCAAGCTAAACAATTGGAAGTCTATTTATGGAAGCTTTCCATCGAACGAAGAATAATTCTCTGATTAGTGAAATTAGTAGAACGATGAAACTAACAGGGTCTTTAATAATCAACCAGCTAAATCACTTCCTACTAAAATTTAATGTGATTGCGATGCTGACGCCATACGGAAAGAATCTAATCTTCCCACAGAATTCCTAAAATAAAATGCACAACCAGCGTAGAGAAGTATACACGATGAAAGCCGATAAAGTGGGATTTGACGCCTATATCCAAGAAAAACCTGCAAAACTTAAAAAATCCTGAGGTTGACAATGTCTACAATCATGCTAGTCCAACTGTTTCGGTGGAGCTGTGTTTACCAGTCATCCGAATATCCTTCACTTCAAAATGCTGCAAGAAGTAAAAACTGTGTGATGGAGGATAGTTGGAAGTGAAGGTAAAATAATAATAGCTATTCCATTTGGTACCCAGTGGAACAGAAGGCTTCAACAGGATAAAGGAACTATAACTCCTTTTACTGGCTTTGAAACTAATAATAGGCTCCCACCTAGTTCTCACGACCAAATAATTCGGACTCCTCTCAAAAGACAGGCGACTCAGGATAGACGGGAATATTCTCGGTGAGTGTCCGGTCTATCTCATTCAAGATCTACCATGGTGACAGGCTGCTGATGTATTGTTTTCAAAGTAACTTGTTCACAATCCATTCTGGGTACATGAATTACACTACATATATATATACAGTATTTTTATTACAATACACAACAATTTACCAATCAAGTGGCGATATGATTGTTAACAACAATTAGTCAGTGTCAACATGTCATTGGGTGACAATTATCGAAGAAAATTAGGACACACGGTTAAAAGGTAGAAATGGTAGCAACACATGGATTGTGTGATGCATAATATTGAAAAAATGAAGAGTAAATAAGGAATAATCGTGTGTTAAATCTATTTAAAGTTTTAAGTATTTATAGTGGTAATTAGATAATGGAGATACTGACCTAGTGACTAATTGTTTATGTGAGACGCAGAACCATATTTTATCTTTGAGACGTCCTATTCACCTACGAAGAAAGAATGCCTTTTTCCCGTATTTAATATTTCGTTCATCTGTTAACACTAGTAGGGATAAAGATAATGTGCTCTTATTCGATTTGCATGACAGTTACATATATATATATATATATATTCGGACTCTGAAGATGATCGGTGCATATTGTTGTAGTATGGATTTAAAGAAACTACCAACATCCGATCTTTTTAATCTTTTGTGTATCATCTGATCAGAAATTAACAGTATTAGATAGACATAATTAGTTGATCTATATTTTACATTGAACTTGCCTCATCCATACATCCATACATACACACATCATCTTTTCCCATCTTGAACATGTACATTAATTGGAGTAAGAAAAGGTTGCTCAAGCTTTATGCTATTCCTAAAGATGGTAGAAATGCACTAGTTCAGTTATTAGTATTGTTTCGTACGATACTAATTGCAGTTTAGTGTATGGCTTCTGAAATAGAATTATTAGGCGTAATTGAATAATAGAGATTGTTGAAGTTTGTCTGTACTTAAAACCACAAATTCTTTGAGAAAACAGAATTACGACTTTGAGATTAGTTGATAAGTATGTTGTGACGCATTTAACTGAAATCCTCAATGGCAAAATATATACCATTTTATGGAGAGATAAGTGTTACAAACGTTTCTTAAGTTTTATACTATAATGACTTTTTGCATTATATCTACTCTTTCTGTTTGTAGCGGTCAACCAAGCACACTTGAACTGGTATTCTTCTTCTTTGAAGGGTCATCAAATGGAAGTAGTGTATTAAGTTTATTGAAATCCACTGATGTTGTCGCATCGTACAGGTTCAGGGATTCTTTACTTGTTTAATTTGAGAACAGTCGTTGAGCAGGATTTCTGAATGTCAGAATGTTGGTTAAATACTTTCTCCTTACATTTGTGGTGATCTGTAAATTAATATTCATGTAGGGCTTGAGATATGTTTTCCTTTGATCAGATACTAGGTAGTAATCCTGACGAAAATCATGTGAGCAGGCAACCACAAATTTAAGCAAATCGCCTGGGATTGGAAATATTCATATTCACTTTTCACTTTGTTTATCGCCAATTCTTGAGGTCAAAGAACGGTATTCCATACATCTGGTATTTATAGGAAAAGGGTATTGTTGTGGTCTCTGAGGCTTTGTACCTGCTGCAAGGTTTACGAATTATTCCCTGGCCCGCCGGTTTCACGAATATCTTAAATCTCCACATCTAGCGTAGTTCTGTAGCTGCATATTCATATTGAACCTCAGTAACTCGTTTACCTTAGTAAATTGTCTAGCAAGCCCAGTTGTGGCTATCCGCTGCCACTACTTGAGCCAGTCTAGACACTATGGACAGTTTCGTGGTCATAATATAAGTCTGCCATGATAGCTAGTAACATTAATTATGAATGCTGTTTCTGACTGATCAACTATATTCCAATCCTTTAAACAAAATCAGTTGTATCCGAGTTTCCTAATCTTGGTATTCGTTCTCTGACATAAACGGCAGATCGATTTGTTCGGTGCTGGTTAATCTTTACGCAGTGGTGCGCCCCGTTCACATTTTATGAGGTTAAGACACCTGCTCTAAGTATGGCATTTATTTTGCCTAGAAATGTCTCAGTGATCTCGAGAAAGGATGACGATGCAAAATTAAACTACTGGTGACATGTCTCTTTCTGAAATGCAGAATTTTAAATTGATGCATTTGTAATAAACACAAACTAATTGCATCTTTAAGGCCGTTGGAAACTATGCCAGACAGAAGTAGCATCCAACTTCTAGTGCCCAAATAAAATTATCAAAATCAAATATAGTAGCCAGCAGACTGTTTTCTAATGAAAAGTTTTGGTACAAAGGCAATTTGGTAAGCTACATAAAAAGTTAATAGTTGGTAGAAGTATGTCTAAATCAAGTTGAAATCTGGCTGCTAGACTTTCAGACTACTTAACCATCAAAATATTATAAATCCTCTTTGGGAACGCGGGGCGGAAAAATCGTTCATTATGGTGAGTAGCATGCTCTCAGTCGGACATACTGTCGCAATAGAAATGTCTTCATCATTAGTCACAAGCAGTGAAGATTTGGTGAGTGTGTGGCGGACCTTAGACTGAGCTAGCTTAATATACCGGATTCGAATAGAAATAAAAAATACAAATCCGCACAGTTACAGGTAGAATATATTAAAATTTGTTACTTGGGTTATTACAAGGTCCAAAATCTACAATTAACCTAACATACTCCAGAAGTATAAGACGACTGCTCCAATCTTAATTCTCCAATGTCGATATTGCCAGAGGTTGACCAAGGTAACGTAGGGAGAAATTACGGCGTCCCTGCGAAATTTTGAAATAGAAGATAGGTAATTAGAATTGGCCGATGGCAGTTGAGATGGTGGAGAAGACGAAGAGTTGTTGGCAGAACGATATATTCATTCAAAACCCGAGGTTAAGTTCAAAGTACAGAGATGTTGGTTAAAACAAAGTAATGTACAATATGTTCACTTCTCATATAATAGTAAAAGTTGGATAAGTTTAATATTGGGGACTCCACAAGTGTTGCTCAATTCTGCTTGAGACAAGGCAATTTCACATCAATAAAAACCTTGAGTTTAACCACTTGAAGGTAGTTACTTTAAAACTGAGTGGTGTGACCCAGTCCTTTCTCTCATCTATCTCGTGCCATAAGCACAATTTGCTTCTCCAGTTAGATCACTTCGAGTGAGTTAGTCTTCACGTGGTTTGAACAGCAGTATGCTTTGTCATCTCCAGTAGATTCGCTTAATCTACACACAAGTGGAATTGAAGGTCGTCATATAAATTTATTATAAAAAACTTCGTTTAAATGCTGCAACCATTAACTCTGAGTTCCAATGACATTCTTATGCAATCATGGATTATTATGAGCTCCTGTATTGAGTACCCTAATGGATTCACAATGACAGTGACAATACCCTTATATAAACCGTCTTCTCTGAAGGAATATCACTACTTAAAAATGGTGGGCACTGAAAAATTCGTATTCAGAAGCAATGTAGTTCGGCTAAACTCAACTCAGAGTAAAGGAAGGCGTTTATCGCGTAGACGCTATCTTACCTGGTGCACTGATTAGGACTACATTAAATTAAACATATTACTTCATTGCGCATCTGTCTAGGTGCATATATATATTTATCACATAATGGGTTAAAGTTTCTTTCAGTATGATGTTTACACACATATTCAGTTAGTAAATGTTGAGAAAGGGGTTCTGCGATTACGAGCTGAAACAGAACGCAAAAGCAGAACAGACATCTGCCTGAATGTATCTTGGTTGAAGTATATTTTTGTTTTCTCAAAGATAATCGTAGGTTTGCACTTCCTTCATTATTAATGCACGTCTTCGATGTTAGTCATATACTGATATCGCGTTGGTCGACTTCAATTTAGCGACTAAATAATAGTTCAAAAAAGCTAAGAAAACCCTTCGTTTCATTATTATTCAGTGGTAACATTCAGTGTGAATTTGAGGAGTCATTAGATATTTCCTTTAATTAGCCCCTTCTTTGAAAGTTAATATATTACTTCACTCTGTTTGTTTGAGTTATTCAAAATACTTAGCTGAGTATTTACATATGTAAGTGCGGCAATTGAAAAAGTTGTTTTCTCGTGCTTCCGGTTGGTTTGTTTTTCTGGTTCATATTCACCTGATCCAGTTGAATTAAAAAGTCCTGAGTAAGTGAAGTTGTTTTTCGTTTATACATTTTCTGCATAATTTTCACAATTTTCGCATATGGATATAGTAAAAGTGCCTATCATTGTCCTGGCATTAAGGATCATGTCACGAATTCGAAGAACATGATCTATGGAAGTTCTAATTTTTCTTGCAAATAAATTCGTCGATTAATATATCAAGAGTTTGGGGGACAAACTGCTGAGTTTTTCCTGGGAATCCAGTGAACTTTCACTTCTGTTGCGATACGCAGGCTGACTTTGACAAACATAGCTAAGTAGAATGATTGAGAGAAGAAATATCCTCCCCTTTGACCTTGCTCTGATATACATAGCATTTTTATTACAATACACAACAATTTACCAATCAAGTGGTGATATGATTGTTAACAACAATTAGTCAGTGTCAACATGTCATTGGGTGGCAATTAACGAAGAAAATTAAGGCACACAGTTAAAAGGTAGAAATGGTTGCAACACATGGATTGTGTGATGCATAATTTTGGAAAAATAAAGATTAATTAAGGAATAAGAGCATGAACATGTTGATTGCGCAACAGATTGTTAAAGAAAATAAAACAATTTGGACAATGATAACTTGTAATTAAGGGTGAATGGGTCAGAAAAATAATAAAATAATTTGGACAGTTATAATTTCCATAGTTTCTAGAGATTTAGTAGGAGGGGGCGAATTAGTCCGCTTTATACATTCATGTAACGATGGCCAAGTTAAGGGAAGTGGCTGTACAAATTTCTTCTGAACACACAGTTTTGGCTTCTTCAGGCAGATTCCTATTGCTTCAGCTAAATGTAGAAGACAAACTCGTAAAGCAAAATTAAGGTTAGTAGGAATGTGATAAATAATTTTAAATGCTGTGTTAACGTCAACCTTATGCTCACTACCCACGTGTGCTAAAATAGAGCTACGAATATATCTTGTTTGGCCCTTGCTTAACCATGCTGGATGATGTTCAGAAATACGATGATGAACCTGCCTAATTGTACGCCCAATGCATTCGGCTGTGCAGCTGCAGTCAAACTGGTAGATACACACAGAGGTGAATTTAGGTACATATGTAAAACTTGGGCACTGTGGTAGTAAGTAATTCTATGTTTGTTTATTAGATATATCACCCAGTGAAACAGTATTATTTACTGGATAAATAATACTGTAAATAAAATAAATAAATAATATTGCTTCACTCCGTGATATATCTAATAAGCAAAGTAATGTGCAGATTTAGATAGTTTATCCAAATTTCTCGAACGTAGAATAGGGATGGTTGTGAAGAGACAACGTACCTCTGCTTCATTTTTCAGGTGCTGTTTTATTATTTCGCGGATGTGATCACCGAGGAACTGAAGTTTTATGAACAGTGGTTTTTTTCAGAATTGTTGTCATAATGACTCTCCTATTCATATTTTTCTTAATGAACTTATCTGGATAACCATTTTTTCTAAGTAATTTTCTAATAATCTTAAGCTCCTCATTGAGGCAGTCGTCTGAACAGATTAGCTTAGCTTTATGAACCAGACACTTTACCAGGTTACGTTTATATTTCAAAGGTATAAAACTCGAAAAATGAGTTTACTGACTTATTGTTGTAGGTTTCCTATACACACTCCTTCTTAGTGTGTCATCTTCTTTCCTTGCCATGAAGACGTCTAGGAATGAGATACCGTCATTACTTTCTTTCTCTGTGGTAAAATTTATTGCCTAATAGACATCATTAAACTTGTTCAGGACGTTCATTGCATCATTCTCGTTTTTCATAACCAGAAATGTATCATCCATATTTCGACAGTAGAAATCCAAGTGAATATTTACTCCTTTCAGTGGTCCATTCTCTAACTTAGCGAGGAAAACATCGGCTAGGATGGACCTAATTGGGAACCCACGGCTATACAATCAGTTTGTCTGTAATATTCCTTATAAATAAGAAATGAACGTTCATTGTACATCTTGAGTTCCTTCCTCCTTAATTATTCTTCATTTTTCCAAAATTATGCATCACACAATCCATGTGTTGCAACCATTTCTACCTTTTAACTGTGTGCCTTAATTTTCTTCGTTAATTGCCACCCAATGACATGTTGACACTGACTAATTGTTGTTAACAATCATATCACCACTTGATTGGTAAATTGTTGTGCATTGTAATAAAAATGCTATGTATATCAGAGCAAGGTCAAAGGTGGGAATCAAATTGGAAAGTAAATATTTCTTCACTCGATCCTTCTGATTTCTAAATGTCTAAATGAGGATTTTCTCTATAGTGAAATATAGCTAAATTGAGTTGGTTATATACGCCATCTGAGCACTTAAATGTCTATGATTTAGTCAGCAATACGATGAAATATCTCAGTCTTTTCCTAAATAGCAAGTTTGGATCTCTATAAAGGCTTTCCCACATTTTTCATTTGAAATGGTAATCAATTCAAATGCTACTTCAATATCCAATATCGTTTTCACTAGTGGAAACCAATTTGATTTCTTCGTGCTTGCTTCTTGATTGCAAGATGCAAAAACTGTTTACTGAGGTCGAATATATATACATATATACATCAACGTGTACAAGACATTGTCGTTCAGCATTTCTTTTCCTTTTGATATATTTCATCTTCAAACCACTTAATGTTAAATGAATAAACAAACACTGCACCTAATAGACGCATGCCACCAATTTTAGCTTTCCCAACAGTTAAGGCACGAAACAATGTTCTCACTCCTAACGACTTTACCAAAAAATTCTTAGCAAAATTTCGCAAACATATTTGTAATTTTTGGGGGTTTTGAGTGGAGCTTAGGACTTCAGTAATACATTTCCATTTCACCATCTTCACCATCTTTTGGCTGGCTCCACGATCGCTGATAAGCTTTAATCTCCTTCCACACGATCATCTCCGTCTCATGGTCTAACGCATAATAACACTTGTCGGTCTCCTTAGCGTGTTGTCTGTATATTTTCTGAGCAATGAGGTCATGCCATGTTGGTTAGCTGCACTGTCAGACTACCCTGTCGCTTACTTTATCTGGCTGGCCATCTAATCCTCATCATGGAGCGAAGACGGCTGTTGATAAGAGTCTGAAGGCTGTTTGAAATGATTCCGGTGACGCCTCCGCCGTGTCTGCACCATATGGAAGCAATGACTGAACAGTGGGTTTGAAAACCTGAATCTCGTCCTTTATGGTAAGTGCAGAAGGTTTTCACACCAATTTCAGTTTGCGGAGTACCTGCATTGTTTTTCAGATCCTGACTTTGATCTCGTAATCCGTCTCGCCTGTAGTTGAAGCTGTCTAGGTGGGTTAGTGAAAGAAGTAGCTTGCCTCAAATTTCTCTCTTTGATGGTGATTTGTGCTTGTTGTTACTAGTTGGGTATCTTCAGCACCTCTGTCACGGAGTCGAGTCATCACTGCCTCTTCCAACAATTTGTTGATTTTTAGTAAACCTTCGAGTTCGTGTAACATTAAAAATAAATCATCTGCGAAGTTCAGATCTCCTAGAATCTTCTTGTCAGTTTGACGCATGCCCATCTCATCGGTCTTCATAGTATTTTTCATGATCCAGTCCACCACAATTATGGATATAGTTGATGATAGTAGTCAGTCTTACCTTATTCCTGGCTTCAATACAAACGTTTCGCTGAGTTTTTCCATTGTGAATCACTTGATATGCGGTATCATCATACAGCTGTTGAATGAAGTTGGAAAAGTTACCCACTCCTCAGAGTTGAAGTGATTTCCAAATTACTTCGCAGTCAATGCTGTGGAGGGTGTTCTAGAAGTCGATGGAGTGTTGATAGAGGTTTGACTGCCTTCTATCCTTTGTTCGGCGATGGTGAGCTGGGTTGTTATTTGATCAGTACTCACTTGTTTACCCTGAATCCAGCTTGTTTGAGCTAAGTTTGGCATCTTGCGAAACTGTTTTGGTCTTTCCAGGGTGATTGAACCCACATTTTTGCCTGGAGTGGAGAGCAGCATGATTCCTCTCCAATTTTTGCAAAGGTATAGTTACCATTCTTTGGCAGTTTGGTAAGTTAGTCTTTCTTCCAGTCAGCAGGTACTTTTCTTTAATTCCAAGCTTTCTGCAATAATGGTGTAAAGATATCCCCTGAGGTCTGTGGATCGGCTTCCAGTGATTCTGGAGGGATTCCGTGTGGTCCCGCTACCTTCCAGGTTGATTATCAGTCTCATAAGTGACACTGCTAAAAATGAAAAATCTGTTCTTAGCCTATGAAGTCTACATTATTTGTGCTTTTAGCTAAGGAGAATTCTCGCAAAACGATGCTTATTCGGTTTGAGATAACGTGTGTAGTAAGAACACTGGCTAATTTACACTGTGCACACTATCAGCCTAGGATGTTTTAAGTAGACTAATTAATTATCTTTGGCAAAATCTGTCATTATCCAATCACTTTTTCAATGAAAATAGCTTTTGTATCCAAATTTACTTAACTGACTTGACTGGCTATGTACTGTCATTAAGCCACTCAACTACTTACAGACTTTTTGTTAACAGCATCGTACAATTTTCCCTCAAATCAGGTTATTTTTTATTCCCCACAACCTTGGCTCGCATTCCTTTCAGTTGTAAAGGCTTCTTATGTTCACACTTCCATTCTTCATTTGTCATCTTATTTCGTCATAGGTTTGTACATTTTCGTATGCACGATCATGTCTTACAGGATTTAATACTCAAAGTATTCAGCCGAAAAATGCTGACACTTTTCCACTTTTTAAAAATTTTAACTTCTAGGCTTTAGTATTAGAGTATGGACTGTCAATAAATTAACAAAGTGGCTTCGGGAGGAGTTGGGCCAAAATATGAAAGTGAATTTGTGTTTTTCATTTTGCTACTGTAGACGGTAGAATGAAAACTTTACGATCTAGTGCATATTCCATATACTACTTCATTACTTGAACTGAATGCTGACTGATACTTATGTGTCTTTGAGGATCCTACAGTTATCTTTATTCCTGTAAATAGTGGGACCTGTCACTCATTTTCAATATGCATAGCTTATAAAAGTTTGGACAAGTGGATGGTATGATTAGCTGTCGAATTATACTGGCGTAGCTAGCCATTTAGTTTATGGAAGTTCACATGATCTGGGTGCAAAGTCTTGTTTTTGTATTATATACGATGTCGCTGATGCTTATTATTTTTAACTGTTTTTCTGCAAACTTGGTATCACAGTGATTACAGGGCTATTTTATTTCCATGTATTGGGTTCTTTTTAGCAGGATTTACTTATTATTAACTCTGACTTTTGTCATGCTTTGGGCGTCTAAACAAAGTATTTAGGTTATTCTTCTTAACTTAAGAAATCAAGTCTGAAAATTTCACTATCTGAGTTTGGTGCTACCACTAAATTTGTGTTGGGGTTATGAGTTTTTCTTACGAAGGTCGGTGATATCGTTTTGTTTTGTATTTATTATACCAACTTTATTTTCAGTGATTTTCTTTAATGATTACGTTTTTACAGTCAGATCGGTTGATGGTTATTTGCACACTTTTCCATTTCGTTTGGTGTGCAATATATAGTGGTAAATCGAGGAATATAAGTAAATGATTTAAGATCATTAATCGTAATGACGAAAGTATCAACTTTACCATGAATGTTATTCATGAACTTCGTAAGCAGTCTTGGTCACTAAATTTTTCTCCTGTCTAGAAAAGGGATTTTCCTTTGTTTACACTAAAGACTTGTTAACTTAGGTAAAGTCGTCCCAAAGATTCTAGTTTATTAGGTGAAGTTCTGCAGTAGCAAGTCGCTGGGAACCCATGGGTCGTCAAGTGTAGTCAGTGAAGTAGTAACCATATCTTCACCGTTGATCGAATCCTGGGATAGTGGTATATTAACGAGCATTCAGACTTGTCTGCATTTACTGAATTGGAGTTAAGACTAAATTCTGTTATTAGTGCCTCCCTGTATATCTAATGAGGTGTTTGACTACTTGGTGGCCCTTTATCTCGTCTCCTCTGTTATGTCATTATATAGCGTCAACTCCTTCTAAAAATTTAGTCACAATGGTAATATGAGGAAAATTATTGATGCTCATATTGTGAAAAGTATCTATGGCGTCGATGCAGTAGATGTGCACACCAGAAAACTCTTAAGAAACTAGTAATTAAACGAACCTTTTAGTGCACCTCTTCTGGTTTGCATAATAGACAGTTATTTTTAAACTCACCAGTTTTCGTAATTGATGTGAATTACAACATAAGAATGCAAGCAGAATTTGATGATTGCAATTTTTTGACTAAATGTCTCATTCAAGTGGATTTTTAAGTTTTATTGAAAGTTTTAAGTTTTTATAGTTGTAATTAGATACTGACCTAGTGGCTAATTGTTTATGTGAGACGCAGAACCATATTTTATCTTTGAGACGTCCTATTCACCCACGAAGAAAGAATGCCTTTTGCCCGTATTTAATATTTCGTTCATCTGTTAACACTAGTAGGGATAAAGATAATGTGCTCTTATTCGATTTGCATGACAGTTATATATATATATATATATATATATATTCGGACTCTGAAGATGATCGGTGCATATTGTTGTAGTATGGATATAAAGAAACTACCAACATCCGATCTTTTTTATCTTTTGTGCATCATCTGATCAGAAATTTAGAGTATTAGATAGACATAATTAGTTGATCTATATTTTACATTGAACTTGCCTCATCCATACATCCATACATACACACATCATCTTTTCCCATCTTGAACATGTACATTAATTGGAGTAAGAAAAGGTTGCTCAAGCTTTATGCTATTCCTAAAGATGGTAGAAATGCACTAGTTCAGTTATTAGTATTGTTTCGTACAATACTAATTGCAGTTTAGTGTATGGCTTCTGAAATAGAATTATTAGGCGTAATTGAATAATAGAGATTGTTGAAGTTTGTCTGTGCTTAAAACCACAAATTCTTTGAGAAAACAGAATTACGACTTTGAGATTAGTTGATAAGTATGTTGTGACGCATTTAACTGAAATCCTCAATGGCAAAATATATACCATTTTATGGAGAGATAAGTGTTACAAACGTTTCTTAAGTTTTATACTATAATGACTTTTTGCATTATATCTACTCTTTCTGTTTGTAGCGGTCAACCAAGCACACTTGAACTGGTATTCTTCTTCTTTGAAGGGTCATCAAATGGAAGTAGTGTATTAAGTTTATTGAAATCCACTGATGTTGTCGCATCGTATAGGTTCAGGGATTCTTTATTTGCTTAATTTGAGAACAGTCGTTGAGCAGGATTTCTGAATGTCAGAATGTTGGTTAAATACTTTCTCCTTACATTTGTGGTGATCTGTAAATTAATATTCATGTAGGGCTTGAGATATGCTTTCCTTTGATTAGATACTAGGTAGTAATAAATTTTATGCATGTAGTCATTTATTTATTACAGTCTGAATTCTATCTGTTATGTTTGTGGTGTCAGGTGCCTCTTCATCATAGTACACCATGAATTACAATTGAAAAGCTTCAGTAATATCTCACACTCTTTCAGAATATTAAGCAGACAACTTGTGGCATATCATATTTACTTTCCCCATAATTTGGGCCGTCAAATCATTTTTGATTTTTCTTCCACACATAATCTTTATCCTGCTGTTCGTTCAACTGGGCAATAAAAGTGAAAAAAAACTTTTTACCAGTAGCTATTAGGTGAGTCCTCTAGTGCCTTGGAGTTTTATTCTCTTATGTCTAAATAAGGAACATCTAGGCTTCCTAACAGGCATTATATTGACTGAAAAGAATATGATAGGTTGTCCTCCCAATTTCATCTTTATGTACCTTTGATTTGGAAGAGTCCAAAGAGCAGGTTATTATTACACACGAAGACAGTTTGTCCTTTTGCTTCTTTTGTGAATGTTAGGTTTTCAGATATCAGTAAACTAACGTTATTTTTATGAATTGTGACAGCATAATGTTGCTACATGAAGTTCGGAAACACGTAGTTAGTAAATATCTTTTGAACCCTCTGTTTTCAAGTTCTGATAAAAACCTCCTCAATCTGGATAAGTGTGTTTAGGATATGTTTTTGTAATTTTATGCGGTATTCATAGCAAATTTCAAGTTAAATTTTAAAAATGGCTCCAGTTAGTGTATACCTTCTGTTATTATTGTTACTACTTTAATTATATTTAAGTAGGCAAACTCATTTCAATGTTTATTTATTTACATGAGTGCTTTATTTTGCAGATGAAACCAAATGTATACTCATTCTTTATTATGTATACTGATTACTGCTTCCTATGTTACCGCTCAAAGACAAGAAGGCTACAAACTTGATCCCCTAACGTAAGCTGTCAAGTTGTGTATATAGTTAAATTGTATTTAAAATCAGGTCATATGTAATCCTTGCACCTAATCGTATCAGAGCCAATGAACTCGTACAGATCAGTGTATCCATATTCGAATTATTATATGAACAGCTAACAATCCGACTGGCTATCAAAGTTAATTCCACTGAAATTGTTTCCAGTCGAGAAGTATTTAAATCAACTGGCACAAGAATTATGCAGCTGAAGGTGAGCACTTTTTAAATGCCAATATCAGTTAATATTATTTGATAGACTCATAATTGAAATGGTAGATAGAATGACTCAGAACGGAAATTAAATTTACCATTAGACGTATAGAAGTGGATGATAGAAATGTATTACCTCTAGATTTTGAAAAAGCTATTCTGTGATTTCCAAGAATTATTATCTCAGTTCATTTATTTCATCCAATAGGAGTAAAAAAAATGAATAGATATTTTTCATAATGGAATTGAATAACTTTTTTCTCTAATAAAGTACTCTTTTTTGCTTTATTTCATAGGTGCCTAATTATGCTCGCACAGGAACGTATTGGCTGCATGTTGAAGGTTCTATTGTAGCTAATGCTTCTATTTTATTTTCAAATCTAACCAAATTGGCATTTTCTGAACAGTCGGAGTCTATTTTTATACATGTAAGTGCACTCAAACGCGGTTGAAAGCTACACTTAAGATGTTATCAGTTCAGTGAGTTTCATGGCAGAATTTAATTTTGTTTATTTATGAAACTGTGATTCGCTTTTATATCCAGTGAAGTATTATTAGGTAAATGACTTTTTTGATGCAACTTAAGGCATGTAATCATATCATAGTGCCCGCTACTTAAAAATCCCAATCTTAATGTTCTCAATATTCTGCTGTTAAAGTTTTCTAGATGTCAATAGTAGATGGTGAATGGTTCTGACTACAGACTGTTGATTCAGCGAATATAATTCGACAATCTCTTTTTCTTTATCCAGTTGTATTAATCTTTTGTGTATGAAATATCCTTTACCTTACTATTTGACTGCATGTCAGTTGTCTTTAACTATTCATATCAGTCGCTGATATGTATCATCCATCACTTTGACTCGTTTTTTATTTTTTAAAAATCATAATGTACAGCTAAAGTGAAATTCAATTTAAACAAACAAATAATAGCACTGTGTTTGGCGAATTGTTCTTGTTTATTGAATTAGATTAGCGGATTTCTTAGACTGTAAATAGTCTGAGAACCATGTGTGCGGTTTTCCTTTCAATTTTCGCTTCCTTGACAATACTTTGTAAGCATTAGGTCACCCTTTGCCAGTATTTCAGTTATTGTTACTTTGATAATTCTCATCTTTTGTGTGTAATAAGATAATTCTACTGAACAATTACTGTATACTTTATGACAGATTTGCGTTTATATTTACTGATCTAAAAATTAAACACTAAATTCAGTCAAACTGAACTTGACTTAACTCTTTTATGAAGTTTGGATATCTGTCAGACTGTCAAAGTTATTTGTAATTACTGATATATGAATTGCTATCTACTATTACTTAACAGGCCTATGCTGTTGATACTTTTTGTTTGTTTTCCAACCGAGATTAGAAGTAAATTTTCAGTTTTCTACCATAAATGCGTGTTATTCACATGTTTTTACCATAACCTATTCTAAGTAAACCAAAATATAATTTGACGATTTGGGTTGAATGGCTTAGTTTATGTGAATCTGATGTTGTTTGTCTGATGATTTATATTTCAATCTGACAAAAAAATATGAAAAGTAGTGTTTTTAAGCCGCTAAAGGTGTATAACAACAGGCTGTTTGTCGATATTTACAATTACTGATTCCATAGATAATATATTTGTAACTGCAATAAAATGTATTTTGTATAAACGGCAATAACTGAAGTCTTCAGGTATTGGTTTTTTGTAGGGATTTTGTTTACTTGTTTGGAGGATTTCATCATGAGCTGACGTCAATTAGAGAACGAGTACTCCCAGGTTTTCCAATGGTTCTCTAACTGGTGTCAGCTCATGATGAAATCCTCCAACAAATAAGTGAAGTCCTTAGTTACATTTTATTTTCGGCCACAATAACTTTTTAACTTCAACTGAAATTTCCTCTCACCACATAATGCTGAACTGTTTTATTTCCTGGATCCTATTAGTCAGTTCATACAATAATTGAAAAAAAGGTTCGTACGGATTTGAGTACTATCTTCAAACGAGTGTTACTATCTTTTCAAACTTGATTAAATAATCTGTTTCGTTTTTGTTCCAGGTTAGTAAACCGATCTATCATCAAAGTCAGATTGTTAGGTTTCGTGTAATTCCAATGCTACCAGACTTAACTCCAGCCTACGGTTCCTTGGTTAGTATTGAAGTACTTGATGCATCTGGCAATGTATTTAAACGATGGTTGAATCCGATGACAAATATTGGAGGTAAGAAAATTAATTTATACCTTATTTCCTCCGTAAGTTAAGAGAATTTTTAAATTCATTATAGTTATGGCTGGCTTTAATTTTAGCCAATATGTTCTGAGTCAATGGATTAAATGTATCTGGATATAAGAGATTCCTGGACTTATTAGTCGGAATTATCAAGCACTGGTTTTGTAGGGACATTTTATTTGATTGGTTGGAGGATTTCATCATGAGCTGACATCAGTTAGACAACCATTGGAAAACCAGCGGGGAGTAATGGACAGCTGTTTCGTCCTAGTTTGGGACTCTTTGGCGGTACGCACCCACCGGGGCTACCAGGCGAGCTAGCTCGTAGACATTAAGCTACTGGGGTCCGATCCCGTGGCCCATTAATTCTGGCTTCTGCTAATTCATGACACAGCGCGACCACTTTACAATGTTTACCTCGATGAGTTACTGCCTCACCTTCAACCTGCTGTACTCTGCTGGTCATGGCTTTCCACTAGGACCCCATTTTAACTGCCTGAATAGGGCCAGTCGCTAGTGAGTATTATGGATTGGCAGAAGTTAGAATTCCTAGGCCATTGGGTCGAGTCCCAGTGGCTTAATGGTCTACGAGCTCGCCTTGTGACCATAGGGTCCTGGGTTCGAACCCTGGTGGTGAGTGCGTGCTGCCGATGATCCCCAAACTAGGACGAAACAGCTGTCCAGTACTCCCCGCTGGTTTTCCAATGGTTCTCTAACTGATGTCAGCTCATGATGAAATCCTCCAACTAGTCGGAATTACTTTTTTCATCTAGTATCTGATGGTTCTCTCTTGCATCGTCTGCACTTCGTTACTTATAAGAATCATCAAATCCATATGAATGACTTTGCAAGAGAAGGGATAATGGGATTTCTAGAATTTCGTCTGGAAGCGAGAATCCGCATTATTCTGTAAAATTATGTGTTCATGCTTCTGAAGCATTTTTTACATACTTTTTTCTTATTCACTTATGTAAATCAAGCTTTCCTCAAACTAATAGTTGTGTTAAATGGGATTTCCCCCATAGATTCTTGTTTTCTGGAGTTCTCCTGTAAATGGTAAGTCACTCAAAGGATGATTAGTTGATCGTTTGCGATATGATTCGTGTTATCGTTCTTCCATGTATGTATTCTAAATACATCGAGTGACTGACAACTGGTAATAACGGATTGATCATTTGATTCCAACAAAAGTGATTCTTATTCATCAGTATTTCAGTTCATATCAATGGGAAATTCAGTCAGCTTTTTTGCATAAAGCAGTTTCTGTTAACAAGTGGACATAAGATTGTCATTTAGATTGCAATATAATCCATAACTGTGTGCACAGCACTTAAAAAATAGATATGATCAGTGAGTAAATTTTGATCACATTTGCACGGTGTTGCTGAAACATCACAAATTAAACATTTTTTTTCTAGATACCTGTGAACAGTAGTACTTACGCATACTACAGGTTATAAGTTATTCATACTATCCGCTCGCCAGACTGAGGTTTTCCAACCATTGGTCGGTCAGCATAGCCGAAGCTTATCATAAAAGTATAAATATGAATACAGGGCATTCATGCAACGGTTTAAGAGTTCCCTGGGTGCTGAAATTATGGTTAGAAGTGTCATTACCAATATTAAAACAGTCACTCTTTTTCAGTGGTTGTTGAATAAGGTTTGTACTTTTTTAAGCGAAAGGTTAACCAGCTCTTCTTGTTAATTTTTAGAAACTGAAGTATATATATATATATTTATATGTACATACATATGTAACAGTGAGACGATTTTAATAGCAAAGTTTTTTATGGATAGCGAGTGTAATCCCTTGATGACTGTTAATAACAGCATAGAACTTTAAAGTAGTAGGTAAGATTTCTACATTACAATAAGCTTTTTCTCTTTTAAGTATGCTATCAAAATGTAATTGTTACAGACAAAATCTTCCTCTCATGGCCTCTGATTTACGTAGAGTCGTAATGCACTGCTGCTCTTTTATATCGTGGAGCGTCTCATAAACAGTCACTGGACAATTATTTTGGGAACAGAATGAATTTGAGTACTTCTCTAGGAACTTAAAATTATTCAGTAGGTTTGTCATTTTTCTTCATCTATGATGATAAATGTTCAATGAGTATGCGAAAATGTTGGTCAAGGTATCGCAAAAGTTTCTCATAAAGTTATGTAATCACGTGTTACAAATTTCACTCATCCACTTTACCGTTGAATCGCCTCTGATTATGTCTATGTTTGTCAATTAGATTCTGAATAAGACAAGATATTAATATGATAATGTACTACAATATGCTAATTACCGCCCTACACTCTATCCATTTGCATTCACATTAAATTAATTGCTGTATTTTATCTTGAATTCATCTAGGTATAATTGAATTAGATTTCCCACTATCAGATCAAGTGCATGAAGGCGTCTGGTTGATACGCGCAAATCATGAAAGATTTTCGGCAGAAAAAACATTTAGAGTGAAGGAATATTGTAAGTTCTAGATGTAATTATCGATATAAGGATAGAACTTGAGCACAGTGGTAGAGTATAACTCCGTTATAGATGAAATTTACTTTGATAAAGTCTCACAGTGTTATACAGTAATATACAGTACAACAGTCGTCTTACTTCCCATCATATTATATTTTATTGATACCACTAATATTATTATTATTATTTCCGAATGTACTTTATCTCCTATATATCCAAATCAAGTTCACTTTTAACTCTTTGAAAAAATTTGGGCATTGGGCATGTGATATTCATTATAATAAAGGGTTTTGTATTTCCCAATGAATGAAAAACAAAACGATATTGTTTTTACAGACGTTTCACTGATAGTTTTATCAAAGTATTATTAAACCAGAATTTACAAAATCTCAGCTTATAGATAACAACTTAATCATCGTTCCTCAGCATGGGGTAGTTTTTGAGTTGTCCAGTTAGCCAGTTGGTAAAGATAAAAAATCCACGTGTAGATTGTTGGATTTGAAAAGTGTGTAAAACTATAAAAGCAGCGTGTGTTTATATAATGAACTTGCTTATCACATTCGTGTTGAATTTGTCATTTCGTGGGGGAGAGGGGGCGTTGTAACCAGGTCAAATTCTATTTTAGTCAATCATTCTTATTCAGACAATTTGGATTCCATTTGATATAAAGTGCTTCTGATATTAGACGTTCTTTATGGTTTCCGAAATTTTTATGGGTTATTTTAATACTGTGGCCTGATTCTATGGCGTGAAGACCTATGACTGATGATTTTTCAGGATTTTCTAGTTCAGTTGGATTTATTGGTGGTCGAACAGATACTCTAAGGTGTTCATTTCTTCTGATTTTTATTTCTCGCGATGTCTATCCGGTGTATATTGCATCCCATTCCAAGCATTTTATTTCATAGACACATTTAGATAGAGAATTTTTAGGGATTTGTTCTTTTCCATGGACAAGGTTGCTTCGCAGTGTTTCTGATGTTTTGAAGAAAACTCTGATGTCGAGCTTATTGAGTACTTTTCTGACATCGTCTGACATCTCTGCTTTATATGGAATGACAACTGTTGAGGCTCATGTTTTCGGAATACGTTTTCTACCATATATGATGTCAGTTTTGATTTTGTTGATGAAGTTCTTTGGGTTGTTATTTTGCTTCAGGGTCTCAGTAATGTTTGATATTTCTTCTTTTTCTTCCTCATCCATTGTCGAAGAGTGTGTTCGTCTAAAACGACTTGGAAAGACTTGGTTAATTATCATCACCCTGCCTGATATGTTGATGCTAACTAATTATTGTTAAAAAAATTGCCACCACTAGACTGTATCTTCCTTTCTATTTAGCACATGTCTATTGAACTTTATATTCATTCATATGTCTCATCAGTTTTTACTCATATGTGTACATGAAAGTTGTTTGAGTACCTTGATATAATTATGGGCAATAAGTTGTGCTCGAAACGTCATCAGTAAATATTACTGTATCACTATTAAACTTCATCAAAATAAAGTTTCCTCCATAATGGAATTAAATAATACTCATTTCATATACAGTGGCACTCTTATTTCTTTCAAGCCTCCGCTGGAAACTATTTGAGTCCTTTATAGGCTGCCGTTACTAGATGAGAAATTTTGGTCTCAAGAACAACTTGGCAAATTTACAAATTTCCTGCAGATTCTGTATTATAAAAAGATTTAACATTATTCATTGTTATAGTCGTCCACGGTATATTTCTATCGAAATTCACATGATCACTGATTTGTCTTAATTATTGTACAATGGCTAGACATTCATTTTATTTTATCTCGTGTTTTTCAAGGGCGACCGTTATGGGATGTGAATGTGACTCTTCCCCTGAGGTTAACAGATAATGAATTGGGCGTATATGGTTTGATTTCTGCTAATTACACAAGTGGGAAAGCTGTCAAAGGAAATGCTACTGTTTTAATACAGCTCAGGAAGCCAGGGGCAGATCGGTGGACCAACCCACCACTGGCTGAATTCAGGCGTTATTTATTGGCAGTAAGTAATATTCTTCTTAGTGAAATCACTTTCTAACTAAACACTTCCCAAGTTATCCGAAATTTATCACAGAGACTTTATCTACTCATGAGTAGTAAGAAATTTAAACCGAAATAATTAAGATGGCATACACTATTTTGTTATATTTCTAGGACCTAGATAGACAACGTGAAAATTCTTTTTGATTTTTTTGTTTATTAGTTACTAACCATATATTTCTGGAGCGAGCATACCGTCTAGCTCACTTGAACAGTTTGCCCGTTTGATATGAATCTCTAGCTTAGTTCTGTTAAGAGAATTGGTGTCAGATCAAGGACCATGGAAACCGTAAGGCGCTTGACATCTGTTTGATTATTATCCTGAAATTTACACCTCTGTAAACACACAATCTCACAGAGGTTAAGCCTAGTGAATAGGTTGGAAACAAACGACTCAACACTTTAAACTCCCTCAAATTTATGATGTAACCAGATTGTAAACCAGTGGCATATCTGAGTACCTACTCTTATACAGTCACAGAAATGTCTCAGTTGTTCATTGAACAGATTTACGGGAAATGACTGTAAATGCTGGAAAGCTGTTATTGAACGAAGATTAATATGTTCAGAGGATCATTATGTAGACTGTTTGATGTAGAATAGTAAACACTTCTAAGGTTTGTGGATGTAACCTAAAACTGTAAAGATTATTCATTACTTTACAATTCATTCTTATCCGATTGAAGAAGTGTCTACATAATCAATATTTGCATAAACTTTATGCTTATTAAGAAGAGTACTTGTGTTACATGTGTTTGGTGAACTAGTATTGATGTACGTGTGAATAATGACTGAAATTAAAACAAGGCATACACTGTGGTGAAATTCTAACGGGTGAGAATCAAAAGAATTTATCTGGTGTGTCTTCTAAATGGTCCAGTTCCCGGTTTTATTTTATTTTGGGTAGTATTCAAGCCAAAATCATTTGTTGGTCAATGTTGAATTAACTTTTTTTTGGTTAATTATTATCATCCCGCCTGACGTGTCGATGCTGACTAATTATTGTTAAGAAAACTGTCACCACTAGACTATAATAAAGTAGAATCATAGGCGAGTATCTAATTGTGAAAGTAAATACCTTTTCGTTTGGTTTTCTGTCTTCCAAATTCTCCTTCATTTTTAGCTTGATGGAATCGGAGATTTCCTTTTACCAATGTCTGAAATCCGTCAAGCGGTTAGCAGCTCTGGAGCTGACCCTTCGTTGGCCAACACTGAGATTTGGGTTAATGTAACCTACTACAACTGGTGGGAGAAAACACATCGAACGGGTTGGGCATTTACAAAAGTATATTCTTCTAATCCACTGATAAAATTTCTCGGTGGTACAGTTCGACCTTTTAAACCTAATATGTATTTTACTGTTTATGTAAGTCTGCTTATCCTTGTTCATCTAGTTCAGTATTTAATTCCCTTGAATATTTTTTTCCTCATTAATAAACAAATATCATGAAAGTTTCAATTTATTTTAATGGATTATGACTAGAAGAAACAAAATTTACTATTACCGAAGTGTTCCCTCAATAAAAAGTCAAAAAGCTGTCATTTCTAAAACAGTCGAGTAGGTGGTAGCTGGAAAAATGTACTTCTCTGATAAATTATATACTGACCCACCGAAACATGTTATATTAATGCCTTAGATGAATGATTAGGCCATATTTATTCAAAAATCGGATGTCTTAGTATTGGTGAGATATTATTATTGATCCGTAAAAGTTTTAAATTGTTTGAAGCCATTAGGAAAGATCTGGAAATCAATAACTTTAGTGATTTCTGGAGGTTCTTTGCTTAACACCGATCCAAGAATTCACCTATTGGTCGTGTAGGCCACCTGATCAGACTTTCAATGAAGCTGGAAATGTTTTTCTGCAGATTTTTGTGATTTTGGCTGAGATCAGTTACAATAGAAAAGAGGAAGACGTTATCCAATGTTGAATTCAATAATCGTCTTATCATCAATCGTTATTTACCTCTATTTCTTTTGTAATTGTCTATAAGAAGGATTCTGTGTATGAATTTGAGTTGTGATTGAGTTCATGATATGCGATACATTCTGTTACTACTTTTGCACATTGTTAGCATCGCTTTCTTAATGATCAAATATGAAAGTCAGTGACTGGACGATGTTTTATAACGTTGAAAAATTTCAGGACATACATTGAACGACAAATATCTCTAATCCTTTATGAAATGATTCCATAGCTGTATCACTCTCTGACGAGTAAGACAATCACTAAAGTACTAGTAATCACCCCAATATTTACTGATTACATATAGGAACAGCTTGTGGAAGTTTTTAAAGGAGGGAATAACTTAAAGTTTAAAGTACGCCTTAGGACTCACATATACGAATATTTGGAAATGTTAGCCTTTATTCGTTCTTCATGCACTGAAGGACAATATGATGAGTTCATAATTGATTTAATTCAGATAAATCTCTTTTTCTACCTGATGTATGCAAAGTCAGCAGAACATTTCTCAGGTTTTGATAGTTTAAACGCTTTACTAACTGGTAATCTCCTCAATTCAAAAGGTAAATAAACGGAAATAATGAGTTTAGTTGTTAATAAAGTATGATAAGGCAGATGACAATATACTTTTGAAGGAAATACTTATATCTACTTAGTCGTTAACATGAAGTGGTCTTTTAACTATATTGCTGATACACAAAGCTGTTCGAAAGCATTATCGATCACTTTGAATCACAGTATCTTGAAAGATAAGTTGTTAGAGAGTGGCGAAATGACAATAAGGTATTAAGAACAGAATATTCAGCGAAGAGACTCTTTTCAACGAATTTATTATCAAGCTATGCAATCGTGTATATATATATATATATAATATGAGATGCAGTTAAAATATTTGTGATCATAATCATAGTTAAATGCCATCAAGTGGTAAAACAATTAATGTCATACATAGAATAATTCATAGAATGTATACATGTTGGAAGGAGGCGTATAATTACAGGGTTATTAGGCAAAAATGAAACGTTACATAACATGGTGTAAAATTTGATAAGATAGAATTCCACAATGTAAAACATTTTTGGATTTAGAATGACAAGTGGGACAGGTGGAAAAAGTTAATAGTGAGAATATTAATAGTAACAGTAATCATAATAGTAGTAATGAGGGAAAGGTATATAAAATAAATATCTGTCCCTCTACGGCCAAATCAGAAGTAGATATAGTACGTACTTCTTTGATACACAAAGGTCTCCCTTAAATTCATAAATGACCAAGGCCTTCGCTGTCCTAGAAGTTCATAACAATGGATGGATGATTTTAAAATCATTGTCTGAACTGGTAGAACGACAAGAGTTGACCAGGTGTTCTGGAATACACCTTAACATACCCTTCTTTTCTCCCTTCTAAAAGGTAATACGGGAGTGATTGATCCTCTGAAATATTCTCAGTGACTGTGTCGGGATTTTAATCCAAACTTTTAACCACTAGAAGGAAATGTCGTAATATCTTTAGTTTCTTTTTCATTCTATCTCAGTTGGTTGTGTATATGGCTGATGGTAGCATGGTCAAGTACAATGGAAATCGTAAAGTCACTTTGTCATTCTACTGCCTTGATAATACTTTCGAGAACCAAATCACTTTGCCCGTTGCAGATGATGGCGTTATACGTTATACATACAGACCATCTGGAGAAGGATGTATCACTTACAGACTAGAGGTGATTTTATCTATTTTAACAGTTAATATAATATTGTTTATACTAGTATACCCTTACTTGTTATGAGTACACGTCAGTTGTTTTATAATCCTAAGGTTCCAAGTGGAACATAGGGTTTCAAGCTTTCGAATTTTCAGTAGCGGCAGTGTTTTTTTACATAGTGCGGTCTCTAGTCCCACTCACAACCTTCTCTGTTTGTCGGGCTTACTACCGCCTGGTAAACTTAGGCGGGGTTTAGTAGTGCATCTGCCGAAAATCAGACCTTGTGGGGCTGACGAGCATTCTACATTGAAACACGGACGCAACATGTCAGCTGCATAAGCATTTTCGTACTCTTAAGACACATGTTTCTCTTTCAATGACTATACTTCTTCTATCCGTTCGTTCTAGAACACATAAATCAAATAACCCTACATGTAGTACGAGAATTCAGTTGATGTGCGTGACTGCTTGCCACCTCGAAACGTTTAAATGAAGACTGTTGGAAAATACTTCAATAGGCTTTAGTTAAACACGTTAGTTGATTCGACATGGATACTATCGACTTGGTTTTACTACAAACTACTGCCATTTAGGATGATTCCATACAAATATGAGAAAATATTACACAACAGCTCTTGTAAAAACAGAGGCAAGTGATACGAACTGAGTTAGCTTGTTATAGAAGCTCATCAATAAATATAGTATTAAAATAAAGGCATGGAAAAAACTAGTATGCTGTCTTTTGCAATTCACCTTTGTTCCGTAGCAATACTACTGTTGTATTCAGTGGTCACTGAAAAGCTCTTACTGAGCATGGAATGTGTGTCCTTTGCAAAGACTATTATTATACTATTATTTATCTAGGCGTATAATGTTAAAAGGATGTACTTTATTTCATTCGTTCTAAAATGAAATCATCAACCATACTCACTTCACTTCTTTAACTGTCACCGGAACTTTGAGAAAATCCTGTACCATTTAACTAGCAGTTCATTTGATCCTAGACGAAAAATTCTGGTTTGCTCACGTATTCCTAAGAGCAGAAAACAGTCATAGTGAAAATTTTTTTTAAGATAATCATTTTTATGAAGGAAATTTAACCTTTCTAAGTGACTGTTAAATTCTTACCATTTAGGCTCGATATATTGACGAAACAGATAGGATCCTATCAAATGATCAACAGCGTATATTTGCTGTCAACTCTTATTCTGGTGCTTATTTGCAACTGTCAACTTCAACATTGTCGCCTAAGGTGAGTTATGACAAGAATCTGTGCATGAACTCTCTTTCACAGAAATGTGAAATGCCTTTCTTTTTCAATGCTATGTCTTTATTCACAATAATGCTGAAGTGCTATGAAGTCTTTTGATTGGATACTGGTAACTAGTGTGACGTGTCTAGTCATTTCTTTGGTGCAGACTGAATTCCATCAGACACGTCACCCTAGTTACTAGTATCCAATCAAAATACCCACTACAGTCCTACAGGAGGTCGATTGGGAGCCCGAATAGCTCAGTGGTAACATCTCTGACTGCGGCACTGGGTGACGCAGGTTAGAATCTCAGAAGTGAAATGAGTTGCTTCAAGCTGGCAGATACGCCTTGCTGATGAGTGCCAACTAGCACGAAACCTAGGTGCAAGGCTTCCTGCCGATTGCCTCCAACTATCTAATGCTATGAAGTCTGTTTTCTCATTATCTCGATGTTTATCTCACTGTTGGGATACTTATTTATTCTCCAAATGCTACTAACCTGTGTTATAGGGGAAAAAATTGTATCCACCTAATACAACTGCAGTTTATGTCTGTGATTTTTCTTTATAAAACTGAAATAGCGGAAACATTCATTTTCCAATACAAATTTAAAATCAGCAACAGGAATTAATCAAGCAAGATTTAAGCAATTCATCTAATTTTGGTAGAGCTTCTCAGTTGAATACTTCACATGCGTTATTATACGTGTTATGCGAGAAACGTAAAGAGATATATGACTAATAAATAAGCCACAATGAATCAATCGTAGAGATTGGACAGGCGGTAGAGTTTTATGGATCAGTTTCAAACATACAGATAATTTTAACCAAGATAAGAATAATAACAGACAAATCGAAAATTGATACAATTCTTATGACTGATTTTAATAAAATCGTTGGACCTATAGGAATTCAGAGCGTAAAGCATGTGTACTGTATCACAACTGCTTTCTAAATAATAATAATATGCTTTATTCCAGAAACAGTACTAGTGGTACAGTACATTTGCATCTAATTTTACGAACATTTAAAAGGAGTATTAAACCAACAAAAAAAAAACAATAAATCTAAAGACACCAACAGCAAAAAAACAAACAAAAAAACACAGGATAAACACAAAAATAATTATAAATGTGAAAAAGTACCAAGAAGTAGAAAGGAAAATAAACATCATATAATAATAACTCAGTATTGGGTAGTGGAAGCTATGATATGATTACGCATGGTGACGGTAAAGCTATAGTCTTACAAAAAGTTATGAAATGATAATTAAAAATGTTTATCGCCAAGATGGTCAGTTAATTTGGTTGAAAAATCTCTAAACAGTCATAAAATAACATTTCAGGGTTGTTGTTTTGTTTTTTATTGTCAGGTCTAATGCAGTGTTTGTAGTGGTAGTGTGAGTAATCCTGAATAATACAAAATGTTCTAGGGTGGTGACTATGGCGTTCACAGCCAATGATTGTCAGTTTAATATTGCCGAAAAGAATAGAAAATAAGAAAAAACAACCAGAAAACTAATAATTACATGATGGGTAATGACAGGACAATTTTGTAATACTCATAGTGCTAATGGAGTCGGGACCAGTGGATACACAATAGAAGGAATATAGTAAAGTACAAAAAAGGAAGCCAATGTTAATAATTTAGGTAGCTAAGTATGTTTGAGATGGAGTTCACTATAGAATACAAAATAAGAGAGAAATAAAAGAGCCTAAAATTATGTTGTTAATAACAAAGCAAGTCATAGGTTTCACGCTTAACATTGTCTCTGTCACTTAGAACACGGGCCAAATATGGTATGGTTGAGTTCCTGTACTTGGTTGTACGAGCATAGATTATTTTATACTGATTTCTGGATTTTACTTGATGAGACACAAGGCGAGGTTTGGGAATAGAGGGGGTGTTCGGAGTCGGAGAGTATGGTTTTTGACCATTTTTCGCATGTATTCAGGTGCCTATCAACTAAAGTAGTGACGAGGTGACTGAGTTTTACACCACTAGTCCTACTGACTACCTTCAACATCCTTCTCAGGATGGTATAGTCCTTTTTCAGTAGACCAGGAAATACTTAAGTTAACTCCAACAGGTTTGGAAGACTTGTATCACTGTCTTGGCTTTACGATAAGATTTGAATATTGAGATTCACAGTAGTGTCCACTAGTTATCTTACTATTTGTATTCTGTGCTGACTTCCTGAAAGCTACTAGGATTTAATAGCAGTTTAAGCCTCCTACTCCATGTTAGTTCGATTTGCCATACAGTGTGATAGTTTTACTTCGGAAATGATGTTTAAGGCACGATATACAGTTAATGGTGATTTAAAGTTTTATTGAGTGAATTATATTGTATCACTCAGTGTTAAATAAAACAAAACTAACCGGCAATGACTTATGATCTGTCGAGATACCCAATTTCTACACTTATATTTACAAGAAATATTAAACTGTATAATCCTGAGGTCATTTCGCTTTTTGAATGTTGGTGTACTAAATAAATTGGATTTTTGTGGAACAAAAGCTTTCCACCGATTCGAACACCTTTTAAGCCAATCAATTATTGATGAGTAATAGTTGAAAGGCCATGCTATACTCACTATCCTCAATATTTGTACACGATGCTTGCTAAGTTATGGAATATAGGAAAATAAACACATGGCGCTCTTTAGAGTTTTCAACACCTTTTAGATATAACTTACCTATTAATTATGTTGCTTCTACTAAGTAGATCTAAAGTGGGATAAGATGGATTTGAACTGATTATGAATTAACAAAAACACAATGAAAGATAAGACAAGCTGGCATTATTCTCATCGAGGAAAATTGTATGTTCTTGCTGCCGTGATGATGAGTGTTATAAGAACCAATGTGAGATTACAAGGGGACTATGGAATAAAGAAGAAGAAGAAGTGATGCTAACGATTTAAATTGTTTTGCATTATAGTTGATAGTGACTACCAGTAGAATCAGGGTTTTGCGTCTCATCGCATTTGGAATTCTTCAGATGAGTGGGTCTGCATCTTCCCCAGAGATAGGGCGAAACGCGCATCCTCGACTCTACTGCTGATCAGTATTATCCGAAATAAGATCATGTTAACACTCAGACACCATCGAAACGTCCGTACTCGAGACCGACTTGTCAACAAAGGTCAAGCGTTTCGGTAGAACATAATCAAACAACGGGAGATATAAATTAACCGAAGTGACATTTTAATCATGAGTGTTATGCTGCCTTTCAAATCATAAATTGTTTTGAAACAGAGCTGAATACTACTACTACTACTAATTCTTCTATTTTTCTTTTTTTCTTAACAATCTTCAAGGTCAATGAATACATGGTGATAAACGTGCAAACAAATTACCCAACAGATAAAATACACTATGTAGTAAGTGCTTTTTTGTTTAACTAAGAAAGTGTAAGATTTTCGAGTTTATTTTGCGAATAACCTTGCAAAATTTTAGAAATAACTTGTTTGCACTGTGTCCACCATATTCTACCATCATCTTAGCATCAGCAGAAATGCGTGTAATATGAAATTAGTAAAGATTTGTGTTAAAGTATAGTTCTTTTAAGAGCGAATTTCTTTAAAAGTTAAAAAGACAGATCAGTAAAGATTATTCTTTTAATACCTTCTCATCTACGCTGTAAAATTAAATAGAATCTCTAAAAGGTCATTAAAAAGGCCAATAGAGGTCAGATGTTAAGGTCAGGTGGTAAGAAAATATGTTGAATTGTATGTCTGGAAGGAAATTAGTGAAGATGAGATGTTATACTTTGTTGATTCGAAAACTACATGTGTATATAAGCAAGAAAATTGCTTTACCCATTTGATTAAGAATGTGCACTTTTCATGGCATGTTACGTTCGCTAAGCAGTTATCATTTCCAGCAGTATGCACTCACTGGGGCTTGAACCCAGGATCTTTCGATTACTAGGCGAGCTCGCAGACCATTCAGCCAAAGGGATGCAACCCAGTGGCACGTGAATTTCAATTCACCATATGTTTAACTCAACCGCCAGCCAGTGTCATAGGCGAATAACTCATCTTTTAGTTGACTCGGTGGAACCCGCTGGTTGTGACTTGTCACTGGAACTCCAGGTAACTTCTTGCATAGAGCCAGTCGTTAGTGAGCATCAAATTAATTATTAAGTTCTGGTTTGCAGGGATTTGATTGGTTATAGGTCCGATCAGGAGAGAACAGCTGTCCAGTACTCCCAGGTTTTCTTTCGGTCCTCTAACTGATGTCAAATAGTTTACAAATCTGTAACCAATCAAATTCCTGCGAACCAGCACTTGATAATTATCATTTTGACTATTGGGTGCCTCACCCATGAATTACCCACTTACAATTCATCACAAAAATCCACTCACTTTAAATTCTTTTCACTGGTCAAACTCACAATTTTTCGGTAATTCATTAGAATCTATTTTTTATCCTGACACCTATTTTGACTGAGAAGATCAGGTGACTTGACTGTAGGTTTGTTAACTGAAAGAGATAAACAGATTAACAGTATTGATTATCATCAAGTTGACTTACTGAAAAATTTGAACACAATGTATCTAATTTTGAAACTAAACTGCTCTTAAAAAACTAGGTTTTCATTTTATGTGGTCGTGTTTTTTTTTGAGATCTTTGCTATTCATATAGCATAGGTGGTTCTTCTTTAGCAGGATGGAAAATTTTGAACTTCCTTTTTGTCTTTTCAAAGTAAAAGAATTAATGTCTCCTGTGAATTAATCTATTTCAATATTCACTCATTGATCTTAAGTGGAGTAATGTCCCGTAAAAATTACCCATAGTATAATAGGTATGATGAGCCACATTCAAAAGCTTCATTTGACAGTAAGAATGACAGCAGCTGTTTCATACATATATGTACCTAGCAGACTTCAGTAGGCCATTGACAGAACCACTTTTCTTTAAAATATCACACTTGCGAAGGGTATTCAATGCCAACATTTAAAAGATCTGATAAATAAAATGCTCTATGAAATTTCTCTAGACACATAAATTAACTATCCGTCATCATTCATTGCGACGTATGAGCCACACAAACTTCATCACATGTCATTAATAATGTAGTGATAGTAGTACCTCATTTTAATAGTAAGACTAAGCTGCTAAATCGATAAATAGATAGTTTTATTTATTTTATCTAATATTTCATCCAAATCCCATAAATCCTATAAAGTTAGAATGAACAGTAGACAAGTCGTTGGGACATAGTTACTGTGCGAAAGCCATTTTCTTGATCGATTCACTCAGACAGATGCTTCTAACCAATTTAATTTATTGGAATTTGTACCGAGCTAATGTCAGTAAAAAGACTGTGTATTGAGTGGAATCGATCAAATGACTTATAATTATATTTCACTAGTTTAAACACAATGATAAGTGTTTTGTTTTAGTAATATTCCAAGCAAAATTACTGCCCGTGATCACACCAGCTGCTGAAATATTTTTTTAAATTGAAAAAAAACGGAGCGATAAACTGTTCATTATTCATTACGGTTTTTGAATCATTTATTCTGAAGGTGCATTTTCCAATCTATAGAGCTGCGTATTTCTATAAGTAGTAGAATTGATGAAGTCTTCAATGTTTATATACGCTGTAGACTTTGAACATGACGTTATATTCTAGAGGCCTCTCATCTCAGATTAATTATTTATTGTTTGTAGCCTGTTAATCTGCATACTCGGCTTTTAACCATTTGGACAACCGGTACCGATCACTGTTTAGTGGATCAACCTACATATGACCCCATTAACTTCATTATTATTGTTTCTTTTTATCTATTGTTTTAATTTTCCTAGGTTGTTTCCAATGGAAATATCTTAGCGACTGACCAGTTGCGTATGCCAAGTTCCGTGACGTCACGTACTTTTTCAATAGCTGTATCCCGTTCAATGTTTCCAGTTTCACACATAGTTGCCTATTTCATTAGGGATAATAGTGAAATAGTATCGGATTCATTGACATTCTATACAAACTATACAAATTTAAATGATGTACAAATGCAAGTCAACCGTGGGAAAGATTTGAACCAGGATACATTGGAAATTAGAGGCCATGCTAAGCCTGGTGCATACATTGCATTCAGTGTGATGCATGCTGATCTATACGCTATTGGTGGGGCTTCATTTTTACGTGAATATGATGTAAGTTGTTCAGCACTTAAGCTATTTCACTTTCACATCTCACTTACTTTGCACATTACTTTTTTGTGTTTCTTCATCAAGACACTTCCTCGACATGGTATGTCATAGAAAATCTCATATCAACTAAACAGCAATCCAAGTGTTGGTTTGTAGGGATTTGATTCATTTGGTTAAATATCATGAACTGATATCGGTTACAAAACCACTGAAGAACCTGTGAGTTCTGTACAGCCGTTTCGTCCTAATTAGGGACTCTTCGGCAGTGCTCACCAACCGGGGTTTGAACCTCGGTGGCCTTTGAGGTGCAAGGACATTCAGCCTAGTCCTTATCCCATATGCCATCGAATGTGCGAGGTTGAACGCTAGGATAAAAGAGCTTTGCAGTGGTTTATAACACTCAGTGATCTCCCTGATTGTGACAGAAACAGTTTATATGTCTATCTTTTCTGCTCAAGCAAGCTAAAGGAATTTCTTAGTTTAACTATATGTTTGCCTTTTTCTTTCATATTTTGTTGACAAAAACAGATTGTTGATGAGTTAATGACGTATGAACAGCACAGTCAATCGCCGTTAGTACATACATGGTACCAGGATTTTAGAGATATTAAACGTATCTATCTACCGACATCAAGCAATGGAGCCGATACTAACAGTACAATGAATTCCTCTGGTTTAATAATGTTCACTGATGCTAATTTCACTAAAGCGAATTTTTATCGTGAGTTATTAATGATATTAAGACTGTTATATTATAGCTAAACTGTACATATATATATAACTGACCTCATTACTCACGAATAACAGTGTCAACTTAGTCTTGGCTAATTTTTTCCTCTGCAGTTTCTATGCTACAAGTGTGTATTTCTGTCAACTGAGTTTCTAGAAATAATACTTGCTAACAGAGGTCTCAGCATCACTTATACTTAGCTGCTGTTCGCATATTTGTCATTTATACAGAATCCTGAAAAACGTCTGGATATTCAGAGTAACAGTGGGGGCTGTTAATCTGAATTGTTAGATGAAGGCGAAATAAGTGTCCAGTGATTCAGTTTACAGTAGTTCACCGCCTGCTGCCATTTTCATATAAAATATACCCTGAGGTGCCTTATGTCTACGACTGGACATGTATTGGTTTTATCTTACGGGATGGCGCAAATGTATTACCATATATTTAATTTTAAACTGACTACTTCATCTGTCTTCAATTCACCATCAGTGAAACTGAGTGATAGTTGGTGATGCTCATCATCATATTGATATTTCTATAACAATGTGACATGTAGGGTGGGCTTTGTTAAGACTGGGTGTTAAACAAAAGATAGTTGAGATCAGTAGGCGGTAGAATTTGTTTACCTACACGAAATGAGGGACCCATACTCTTGCCATGACCCACCGTCTTCTCTGCTGTTTGCCATAGCGTTATTAAACAAGGAGTGACTTAAGGGTGGTCAGCTGGAATCCTGACATGAACTGATTAAACAGATAACTGTTAACTTGAGGCATACGAGAAAATAGCTAGAAAGTGCAGTTATTTTGGTGGGTTTGTTTGAATAATAGGATTACTAACTAACTATTCAAGTTGGATGCCTCTGATGCAAGTCATTTTCTGTTGTTGTTATCTGTCCAGTAAACTGTTTATTCTAACATAATTCTGTAGTTGTTCATTTCCCTTTTCTGCGTTCTTACATGACTGGATAGTGTTGACCACTGTACTCTGTATGAAACTCATTCTTCTGTCATTTGATCTTTCAATATATCTGAGATAAAATATTGCGAAATATGTTGTCTGAAAATCACAAGTTTCTCACAGTCGGACATTTAGTATTACATGTCTTAGGTAACATTTCAGGTAACAAGTTATTTGCGATCAATAAATACTTTAAGGTGACAGTATTTCATAATCTCTGTGAGAGATATTTTTACTGTTTTCTCTTTGCTATAGATACGTGTAATGAGACTGAGAATCCTGCACGCGCCTTACCATGCTATTCTCTGACTGGCAGAGATTGTTATTCGCGGAGTGAAAAATGTGATGGAATTAATCAGTGTGCCACATGGGTTGATGAGATGGATTGTCCAGAAAATGAGACCAAAAATCCACAACCATTACGTTTAATAGATACATTCGATATACTATATCGACAATGGAATGATGGTGCGTGGTTATGGCATAGTACGTTTGTGAAGTAAGTGTAGAGTTTTTGGAAAAATAGGGTTTTTTCAACTTTTAGAAAGATTCGGTAGTAGATAGTTAAAATTTAGTGGCCTTGTTATCATACGTTTTTAACTGTCTATATTTGTCTCTAGTGCAGCTCTCCTATGTATTAAAAATTAATGCTTGAACAATTGATTTCCATTGTCTTTTACAGATTTTCACACTTTTTAAGTAACCACTTTATCTTAGAAAACATGACTGCTAACACACTGGTTATTCGTACAAATCTAAAGCAGATTGCTATCCATGTTAGTAGTTTCTTTCAAAGTGTTTTCTTCTAGGCAGTATATGATTGGTTCAGCTAATAATGGATAACTGACTCAAGTTTTTTGACTGAGTACATTTTTGTAGAATTAAATCATGACAAAATATGAGTTAAAAGACAAACAGCATTATTGCAAGGAAGTTTTCGTCACTAACTGTCACTGCCATTCAGTGTTATCAGTGAGTATTGTTCTTCATACCAAAATGGGTGCTCACTAATCCAGTATTTGAAAACTCAAGTTTTCCTAAGTAAATAAGTTATACTTATCTATCAAGTATACCCCAAAGACATAAATGTGTTAGTTAGAAGCAGTGATTAACAATACTACTGGTTTCACCAGCGTTTGTTCTAAAGAACCCCATATTTTGATGGACGTCAGAGAAAGCAGGGCTTTGCGATGCAATATTAAAGTGTCTCTAACCAACTAAGTTTCTTTACTTATTTTAGATACAAATAATTTATAAATTTACCATGACAACCTTAGGAAGATTTTTAATTTCAGCATAAAGCTCTTCTTTTTTGCAAGAAGTTGAAACACGAATCTATCGGAATCAACAGGTTGTGTTTCATTTCTCCTGACATATTTTGCCGGTCTTTACAGAGCCAATGGTCAAATACAATTTCGTGTTGATCTTCCTAAAATGAACGCTGACTGGGTAGCTGGAGCATTTTCTGTCGACAGTGAGCTAGGCCTAGCTTTAATGCAGCAGCCTTATCTATTTTCTGGTACAAGGAGGTTTTATATGACTGTTGAATTACCCGAAGAAGCTGTATGGGGTGAACAGATTGGTGTTCGTGCTTGTTTATTTAACAACTGGAACTACTGGATTGAGGTAATGTAAATATTTTGCATTTTTTTTGGTTCTAATGATATAATACCTCAGCCGTCTTTATTCGACTGTAATAATCTGACAGTTTCCCCTTCCCTCTAAGCACTTTACCGGCTGTCGTTGTCCTTAATATCTTTGATTTTCAAGGATATTTCCTACAGGATTTTATCTGGTACTCAGTTTATTATTAAGGCATAATATTAAATTTAACATGGGTATTATTGTTCGAAGAAACTATCAGAAAACATCAGACTCAAATTATGAGCTTGTTTGACGCCCACTAGCAGAGTGCATCAATGTATCTTAGTGACTGGATCCAGAATCGCCGTACACTACATTCGAACATAAAACCAGCAAGTTGTTTAAGACCTATACTTGAGAATAACTTAGACGTTAAGTAAATTTTAAAATTATGAAGTTTGCCAGCAGATTCTTTTTGAACTGCATAGCTCACATTAGTGGTTATTAGTGTTTTAAGAATGATAAGTAGTCTGTATATGAGTATATCTTAGCAACTTCATGCTTTCTCTTCTCGGTATGTAGTGTCCATGAGTAGCATGAACTACAAAAATGATTGGAAACATCGCATAATCGAATATCATGATTACTGCTTTATGATTTTCAGGAAAGAATGTAATGTTTTACTCAAGCCAGAATATTAGTGTATGATATTGTCTGTCTTTCATAGATGCAGGATGTGTTGCTATTATTATGGCTGATAATTTATCACTTATAAAACTAACACTGAGCAACGCGAGCAGAATGTGTTTTCTTGAAGAAGTAATATCCTTTTCAGATTTATTTCAAAAGAAACTATCTTCGAACAGTACTGATGATAAACCTATTTATGTACAACAACTGTGAATAAGCGGTTTATATTTTCAGTAGTTATCGCATTCCTTAATAGGGTACGGTATATATTTCCTCCGGCTTTGTTTTACCCTGTTTTAGGCTTTAGTTGAAGTGAAAGCGAGTCCTGATATTCGTTTTGTACATGTCGGTTTAGAAGGACGTGTATCTGCTTATGCACCTGAAGTATCTGTCAATAAATCTGTTCAGTCATTGGCCTATTTGGAAGCTGGTACTTCGCGTTACATATATATGCCCATATTACCAAAACTTCCTGGGAACACGTCATTTACAATATGCGCTTACAGTTTTATTGGCTCTAATTGTGAAACACACACAATACTTGTTCGTGTAAGTTAACATTTAATCTTTGTACAGATGAATTTAATTTAAAGATGTTGACGTACGTATAGAATTACACAAAGTTGTTGTAACAAAGCTCTGGATCCCGCTACCTAGATGTTTAAACTGGTATTCTTATAGACAAATGAAGTAATTTTGTATCTTATTCTAAGAGGGAAGTTTAACTTTTCGTAACAATATCTCAAAAATACTTTCCAGTTTAACTCGTAGAAGATGGGATGGATAAAGCTTTGAATTTGTCGAAAGCAAAAACTTGTTCTTTAGTGAAAATTTTTACGTCAGTTAAACGAAAAGCTTGATTTAGTAAAATGCGTTTCAATCGTTTTTGTGTGACATCAGTAGCATAGATTTACAGACTTAGCGAAAATTTCTGGTGTTCTATTAATTTAGTTAAATAAAGTTTGCACAAACTCCAAGACAAATGTAATATAAAATTCCTGAAACTTCAGAATGAAAGTTAGGAAAACCAAAAACTGCACTCCGCTAACTGCATGAATTCAATTAAAGCCGTGTGTAGTATAGTTTTGAGAAATTCCTATTTCACTACTGAAGATAATTCTGGTTAATCCTAAATTCCTTAGTCTTGTTAGCTGAATTAAAGCAACTGCAGTAAAACAAGTACGTATTATGTGTGTACATATCAGTATGCATCTCTATATCTTTCATTACGTTTTCGGGCACAAAATATGGTGTACGAGCGTGTAGTCTACGAATAACTAAGGTTGTCTAACTGATATAGCTCACTGCAATAAAGCTTGATAAAAATGAAAATAAGCCAATATTTGAACAAACTTTGATAATAAACTATTTTACTTTGCTTGAACTATTCTATTTTATACAATTAATACATGACAGTTAACTGAACGGATAAATTGGTCCACTCAGTCCACCACATGGATTCTGGTTAATGAATGAACTAGAAATAGATTTAAAGTGATTGCTGTTTTATATTGGTGATCTGGTTTTACTTGATGCAATAATAATTATCGGTTGGCAATAGAGCTATGAGTGATTGCATTGTGCGATAGCATTATGACGAACCGGTCACGACTTCAATCCTGTTTCAATTATGGTGATTGAGGTAATAAGATGTTGTCACATAACTTATGTAAGAGGTGTGGTACAGTGTCTGACACTTTTGCATATGCATGACCTGTATGTCGTTACCATTTATTTTTTTTCCCAAAAGTAGTCCTTCACACTCTTATTGCAATTCTAGCTGGACTTTCTGTCCTGTTTAGTTTATGTTTTGTAACTATGTTTCGGTACTAAATGTGGCTCAATAGCTACAAGATTATTTTTCTGCAGTTTGAATTTCGTGTCTAGTACGCAAACATCATCAAGGGATTATGTTATCTAGAAAATACAAGATGAAGAATGCCTGATATATTTGGTGATCCGGGTGTCAGACAATAGCATTTATCCCTTACATCTATTATTGAAGCATAGTTCCGTGTGATACTTATATTGAGTAGCAAAGCGGTAAAGCAACTTATATACCAGAATGACTTGAGTGCAGCATGGATATACCATATGTACTTTGTAATTAGCTATTGTATCATACCCTGTGAAATTTACTTTTTTTATTTCCCTACTTGGATTTTAATTTTAGATGAATGGTGTAACAAATTATTTTCATACTGCAAGTTTCCTAGACTTGACAAGTTCAAGTACATTATTTGTAAATAATTTCAAGGTTATTGTTCCACAAAAATTCACAATTCCTGAAAGACGTTTACATCGTTTTGTGCCTGGATCACAGAAGGCTATTCTTAGTGTGGTCGGTAAGTGCCTTTTTACGCAATACTTACTACTAAAGCACCATATTTTTGTGATGAATGCAAACACATGATATTTATCATATGATTATTCACAAGCCGGTAATCTACCTCCACTGTGAAGAGGAAAATGGTCTACCCCGAAAGCTTCACATTCCAACTTACCCTGTGACAGACCGCGGTAAAATCATCATACGGACATAATTCCAGAAACCATTTCAGAAATGTAGTTTAACCCATTTTTTTCATTCCTCAATGGGGCTATTTGAGTCCTCCGTAACTATGGTGATTCATAATTCCAGTGCATCTGCCAGTTACTGCATGTTCATACTGGAACTGATATGAAATATTTGAAGATAGTAAGTAGTCAGGCAGCTTCAAGTATAAATTTCAGTTTTATCGTCAGAAATGTGTAGCCCGGCTCTTTTTATCGGTGATGAATTTCACTGGCCCTCTAGTAAATAAAACTATAGGCTTTAGAATCGTTTATTTTTCCTTTCCTTTTGTAACCTCGTTTTTATCCTCGTACAAAAATTTCATGACAATGTGTATTATTGTGTCAGTTGATGGGGAAAGACATAACTACCATCGATCGATCGTGAATACAAATACAAATATAATAGCTCTGTATAACAGTTTTACTTAGATCAAGTGACCTTTATATTGGTAGTTACTGAATGCTTTTTTTCTTTTAGCTAGCCAACATTTATGCGATAAGTCATAGTAGAATTACGGTACACTCCTATTTCCGGAGTGTGTGTGCAATCCTACTTCATATGTGTCCTGAACGAATATAAAAATCTCTAGACATGCAAATGAATCTTGAAGAAAGCAATCGATAAAAAATATCTGCACAATTATTGCCTACTAATTTCCCGATTATGTGGCTGCATTGTAGTGACAGAGGCAGAGAGAGATTCCTTTTATTTGTTGACTGTGTTACGAACTCTTGATTTAATGAATAGATTGCAGTAGATTGGCGATGGTTAAGGAAAATCAGTCACAAGAAAATTTTCACGGGAGGTAAAACAGATTCAAACCATTCACCCTCAAACTTGAATTATTCACTATTACACTGAATTCGTTTAGACCTCTTCTCATAAGGTTATCATAAATTGATAGTTCGTCCTAATTATCTTTGGTTAATAGATCCGCCTTCAACAATATTTGCTTGAATCCCATTCTTAGTAAAAAAAACTATGTATGTAAACATATATATCGGCCTTCTCCTAATGGTTCAGTGTTCAGGTTGGGTCACTAAGCAGCATTAGTTAGTGGAACATTGAAGATCAGAGAGTACTGGACAGCTGCTTTGTCCCGATTTGGGATTGTTCAGTGGTACACACCTATGAATCCACTCGGCGTACGACTACGGACCTCGTAATCTGAAGGTTTTCTCGACTATTCAGCTATCAAACTTGAATCATTGAAAGTGTCTCTTTACCTTCAGTACTTTTTCCTGTGATTACACTGAAGATAACAAATCATTATTCAGCTTCATATCTGAAGTATCGTGTATGTCAGCTTGATGGATCCAAGCAGAATTATTGTATATCTGTTAGCACAAGGGGGTTATGCATCAAAATCTGGCAATAATTATAGTAATATATACCATCGAGATCACTAGTAGTAGTAGTGTATTACGGGGAGGATAATCACTTTTCTGATTCATACGAACGTTTTGCTGATCGCTTAGTTATATTTTTGCTGATCTCTTGACATCAGTGTTCTATGTTACGTTTATTTATAAATATTTCATGCCTAACCGTAACTTCTTAACCTAACAAAATTTATGCTGTACTCCTTTTTCTGGACACTCCATACTCATGATGCAGCTTTACTTTTAAAACACAAACTATATTTAAGATTAAGATATTTAATGTAGCTTTGGAAAGGGTGGAAATGGCCTACTGGCAATGAGCAGCATGAATACGAATCAATGCACTAAGTAGTCAGTTATTTGTCCAGCTGAATAACTTCAGAGGAAGTGAAACTCACATCCTGGATTCCACTGCCAGTAATCATCAACCAAATGAAAAATATGTTCCGTACTTTATGATTCAGTTTATTCCAGTATGCACTCTGAATTACTACATTACTCAGTGGCTGTAGAAGACAATTTTTAAAAAGAAAATTAGGATGAGAAAAAGTGTTGAGATTTCAACGAGTGCATTTCACCAAGAAATAGTACAACGAATTACAACTTATTGTATCTTTCAAACTATTCCTTATTCTTCTGGCTTCTTCAGGTGATTTTATTGGTCCTGCATTAAGTAAAGAATTTCGTTATGCAGATACACGTAACATTCTACGCCTAACCTATGCATCTGCAGAAAATGTCTTCTTCGAATTGGGTTACAATATGAATTTATTACTCTACCTACATGGTGCTGGACATTTACCTTATTCAGTTCTAGAAAATGGATTACTTTACTGTTCTGTTGTACTACAACGCGGGTTCTCATATTTCAATCGGCAGATCGGTGCTTTTGCTAATTTTAGAGATCGTTTAGATGAGTAAGTGATTACATTATTAGCGTTGTTCATTTTAATTTACTATCTGACTTTTTGTTTAATTCATGTATACTTTGCATGGATCCAAAATAAAATTTCAAAGCTATCGACGACAACCTTTTCTTATCCTTTCTGTAACTCAATACATTTAAATCATCAAGACTAAGTGGGAAACCAATAGTTGAGTATTTCTCTTTTTATGTGAAACATTGTACTACATATCGTAGGAGTTTTTTGAAATCATTTCTATATCTGCAGTCCTTATCGACCGCAAAATAAAAATCAAATCTGAACACACTTTAACTCATAACTTGCTTAATAATTAACAAAATAAATTGTAGCTGAATATTTTAATTCAATATCTGAAGGATTTGAAAGTCTAGGTAGCACAGGGGGAGCAGTATAAGGAGAAGCAATTATTTCTAAGCTTTCGATAATTACTGTCATTAATGCAAATATTATTTGGGCAACATTTGATTCATTCATCAATAAATAACAGTTCATCTTACTACTAAGATTGTTTGTTGTAATGGAATTTTAATGTGTTAAAAATTCAGCAGTCATATATAGGAGAAATAGTTAATTCCTCGACCACTTTATAACTAAACAGCTTTTACACTGCAAAGTGACACAGAAATAAATTACATTAATGTCCTGATGCAAAAATACTCTACAAACAGAATGATTGCTTTTATAAACAAACATACAGGTTGAGATATAAATCAGACCACTATAAGACGAAACTTTTATCCCAGCTACAGTCTTGTTTCACTCACCAAAATATTTGTGGAGGAGTTATACATCACTGGGCCAGTCTAATTTAGAATCATAGTTGAAACCCATCGGCTACCTATGTCTATTCTCCAATCACTTGCCACTAGATATGAAAGCAACACTGTCTTACTGAAGTCACTTTGACTACATTCATATTTTATAAATAAGCTTTATAATAGATATAGAATATAAAAGCAACTACTCAGTACATGAATATTTATTGGTTGGTTTTTATCCTCAACTAAAGCACACAGGACAGGGGTCATAGAATCATTTTTTTACCTGATATACCAACAACATCCGAGGAAAGATAAGAGTTCATCTTTCAACCAGTTGTTTAAAAACCATCAGCAGTAATAAAAATCCTTATTCATTAAAATTTGGCCATAGTTTACAGTTTAAAGTGGTCTTCAATTACTATATCACCTTTTGTTGCCTCCCAGTTCATTGTTTAGACTAAGATTTAGGCAGATCAACTAGACTGTGTTACATGCTTTTAACTTTGATTATCTATTTTGTCTTGACTCTTGTCTGATTTTGACCTTTCTTGTCTGTCGTATCAGGTCCACCTTAAGAAAGTGTAGATCTTAGTTAACTGTTTCCTTTCTTATCTAAAAAAAATTCTAAACTTGCAAATAATGGTAGAGATTTTCACATAATGGAAACATTTTCTGAACTGGATAATTCAAGAGACAAAGTTTACCGTTTACATAGATATATCTAGACATTCTAGTAATTTTCAAGTATTGGTCTTTGTAGGGATTTAGTTTGATTGGTTGGAGGGTTTCATCAGGAGCTGACATCAGCACTGGACATTTGTTTCGTCCCAGTTTGGGGCTCTTCAGTAGTACGCACCCACCGGGGTTCGAACCCAGAACTTTCTGGTTACAAGGCGAGCGTGCATACCATTATGCCACTAGTAAGCTAAAGACTTGCGTTTGTATTATTCTCTTGTGTTGTTGAAGTCTAAACTGGGTCTAGGAGGGTCCGTTACCATTATTCCTACTGCGTGGTTCTGTTTTACTAAGCGCACCACCTCTTTTGGTGTTTTGATCATTTATCTGCCTCTTTTTCCACCAGTTAACTGTGAAGAGAGTTGCCCTGCTTCTGTGTCAACTTTTGGAAGTCGATAAACAGGAGACTGCTTTTGCAACCTTATGCTTGAATATAGGCCTAGCTATGAACTTTTATTACTTTCCGGTTCTACAGAAAGCTAATATTTTCAGTTAGGTAATTGAACTCTGCTATTATGTTTCACTGCAAATCGTAGATCCCATGGCTGTGGAGTTATTTTGGTATGGCTCTGTTTCCATATTGTTGTCGTGCATGCACATAATTGTGAGACCATTATGAACACACTGGTCTGATATTCCCTTCTTCTAACGACGATTTGTAAATGAGATAGGGGTTCTATTGCGCAGACTTTCTTCTTGTTGGCATTTTTTACTAACTCTGCAGACAACTGTGCTTCATTAACAATGTAAAATTTAACACTTATTAATAAAGTAGTATGTATTACCTTACGATATGTGACTTGTCCCATTGTATTACAAAACAGTATATATATATATATATATATACCTACTACTTATCAGGTAAACCTTCTCTTATAATTTCTATTTGTTCCCGGTATTAATTCTGCGATTACCTGGAAGTATTATTCATCCCTGGTGCAGTTTAATGGTGATTTACTTTGAGGTGGAATTTTCATAGCTTCAGCATGAAAATCACAATTTTTTCAGTCTACATTAGCATAATTCAGTAACTACGAATAATTTCGTGCACTAGTCGAAGAGCTGCAGCTTGATATTGAGTATTATTTGTCAAAAGTAACTGTTAAGGATTCTGCTTAATAGCATCATCATTTAATATGTCATATCAGTTATCGGTGGTGTACACGTTGGTTAGGAGGAAATAGACAGTCCATAGTTTTCCATACGTCACCTATACAACAGTTGTCATTCTTTGGTGAATACATCTTCAGACACCTATCTAGTAACTTGATGACTGCGCATAAAATACCAGACATTTTTATTTGGAAATAAAATAAACGGAAACAAAGCAGAGAATTACTCCTTACTGTTTCTTAATTGGATGCTTTAGAAACACTTGGACATAAAATTGCCTGGTGAATATTGATCGTCTAGGTTTAAACATGTGATTGGCTAGTATACTGCATAGTTTTCCCTAGTGGAATATACTTGATTCATGTTATTTTTTGGATTTTATTGTTCCCAAACCTGATAACAGTGTATTTGCTATAAGAGAATTTGTAGTTTTCCTTTCTTTCTAATAAAATGAAATACTTATATGAAGGCTATAAATCACAAATTAATTATACCAAACACAGAACTGAAAAAGGAGTGAATAATTTCACTATGTAATTGGGTTAATGTGTGTGTGTGTATAGCGTAGATGTACTTATAGTCGCACTTTAATGGACTTTTTCGATGTTGATTCAGTAGCCAGTTACATGTAATACGGACTGGTAAACAGTCACGGTTTCTACTAACTTATGTACAAAAGTATTCAGTTGAATTTTAAGCCGATCTTTAAGTTAATATACTTGAAACAGAAAAATCGTAGGATATAAAACTAATCATCAGCAAAATTTAATTCAAGAAAAAAATGAATATATTTATTAGGAACAGCTGTTCTAGATGTTGTGAAAACAGCAATGAGGTACAATGAACAAACCTACATGACTTTCAAGATCTGAATGTTATCAGTATCTGTTTTACTTCCCTCATAGATCCCAACAAAACCGCCTGCTAAAAGTGTCAAAAGTAACCGGAAACCACTTAAAAGAGTTTAAAAGAATTCAGACACCCTGTAGCACTCCTGTGTTGAAGAGAATGGAGGACAAATACCTGATGACCATCTTCAAAAAGAATGGATTTCCTCACAATTTCACCAAAACGTTATATCACCAACAACAACCCAACATCAGAAACCACAAGAAAATTCATCCCACCGTATATAAAAGATATCTCTGATTTATCAACTAGAATAATAAGACGATTTGAAATAGACATAGCACACAAACCAGCACAATCACTTCATTCGATACTGTGCAAACCAAAGATATGACAGAAAAAGAAGATAAAATTAATACCATTTACAAAATAAGTTGTATGAATACTTTGATTGGACACTAGTAATATATGTAATGTGTCTAGTCCTTTCTTTGGTGCAGACTGAATTCTATCAGTCAGGTTGTAATGTGGCCACCATTCTAGATAGCTCTCCATCATGAGGCACATTGATTTGATGATATTAGATGGTTGGAGGTAATTGGCAGGAAGCCTTGGACCTAGGTTTCGTGCTAGTTGTCACTAATCAGTAAGGCGTATCTGCAACCTTTAAGGAACTTATATTCCTCCTGGGATTCGAACTCGCGTCACCCAGTGCTGCAATCAGAGACGTTACCACACTACACTAGTTACTAGTGTCCAATCTTAGTATCCACTACAGTCCTACAGGAGGTCAATCGCGAGCCCGAATAGCTCAGTGGTAACGTCTCTGACTGCAGCACTGGGTGACGCGGGTTCGAATCTCAGAAGGGACATGAGTTCCTTCAAGGTTGCAGATACGCCTTGCTGAAGAGTGCCAACTAGCACGAAACCTAGCTTCAAGGCTTCCTGCCGATTGCCTCCAACCATCTAATATCATCAAACTGTATGAACTGCAATAAACATTACATCGGTCAAAGTGGGTGGCCCCTTGGAATCCGAATACAAAAACACAAACTGGCTATAAAAGACATGATATTTATTCTTTCATATCGATGCACGTAGATAATTACGGACACCAATTTGATCGGGATAATGTCGAAATTTTAAGTAGAAGGAACACCAAAAATGTCAGGGAATTCCTAGAAGTTTGGTACTCAAGTGAATTAGCAATTAACAAACATATTGTTATAGACCAAATTTATGAGCTAATAAGAAGTAAATCACATGACAACAAAGTTCAAATTTCGAGTCCATAAAAATGATCAAGAGATACGTAAATTAACAACCAGTCACGACATTGGTTGCATCATTCATGAAGAATTTAAATGAGTACATTTTATACTAAAGCTTCAGGTGAAGATGTTGAGAAGGACGACGAAAGTTTCGCTACTAAATCAACCAGCTCTTAGAACACAAAAATTCAACATCATTTACCTTAGCCATAAATCTTCTCCATTATTTCGGAAAACACTTATACTTACATATATATATGTA